ATTTTATATAAGGAAAATTTTCAAATAGTTATAATTTACATATAATAAAAGTTTCTGATAAATGTTTTTCTTTACAAAAATTACAAAAATATTAATGGAAAAAGCAGCCACTAAAAAGTAAACTATCACTTCCTAAAAAAAGTGTGATAATATTTTTATTAGTAGAAGATAATCAATGAAAGTTAATAAAACAATAAAAAGTTGTATGTATTTAAGGAAAGCACGTGATCATTCGAGACGGAAAGTAAAACGGAGCCGTCCACGTTGATGCATAGACTTCTTATCTTAAAATAAATAATAATATATTAATATTTATAATAATATAAAGTTTTTATATAGATAAATATTATAAATATGAAGTATAAAAAAATTTAAAATAGAAAAAATAATTCGTATAATTATAAAAATAATATCAATAATGAACTTTTATAGCATAACAATAATTATAATTAGTAATAAATTTATTCATAATCATAAATCATACAAATAATATATTTTTATAATAATAAACTTTTTGTTAAATAAATAGTTATAATATTTAGTAATGCCTAATAATAATAATTTTTATACGTAGTAAAAATAAACTAAAAAATTTATAGTAATAGAAAAAATAATATATTAAGATTATAGAAATAATATATACAATAATTATAAAGTAATAAAGTTTTACTGAGAATAAAAAAATGGTCACAATTAATACATAATAATACTATAAAAACAATAATAATAATAATATAAAACAAAAAAAATCTACCCAATCATTATGGCCAATTAAAGTTTGTACACAGTAACCGCTACGAACTTCCCACTTTTTAATGACTCTGTCACGGGACCCCGAAAAAAGATGGTCGCCCGTTGGATGAAAACAAACACCTGATACGTTATGGTCGTGCCCTGCGAGTTTTATTATAAATTATTATTATTATTATTAATATAAAAATAATTATAATATTATTATTAGCAACAAAGTAAAAAAATAGGGATAACATAAAATAAATATATATTTCTTATTAATAGGAAATATTTAATAATTTTATTTTTAAAAAGTTTATTATCATAACTATTTATTCATGAAAAGTTGTCTTTTTAGTTCTATAAATTTTTCGACTATAAATTTTAGTATAAAAACTTTAAGGCTTTTATTAATAATCTAAAAAAAAAATTTTTTTTACTAAACGGAATAAAATATTTGAAATATTTATAAAAAATAACTTTTCTAAAAAAATTTAAGACAGAAAAAGTTTTATATTCACTAATAAATATTATTATATATATATTATTTTAATAATATATATTATTATCAAAAAATAAACAAAAAAAAATAACAAATAAAATACTATACGAAAATAAAAGATATAATAAAAATATGTTTACTTTACTTTAATAATAAATCTTATAAAAAATCTTATATAATTATATATTAATATATATAATAAAAATATATTTAATACACTTTTTTATAAAAAAACTTTAGAAGTTTTTATTAAAACTTATTATTATTTGCTAAAAAATAAAAAATTATATTTATTATTTTTAACTCAACAGGAAAGAAATAATAAATAAAGTTTTACTAACTTTCTTTTTTATTTTTTATTTTATACTCATTAATATTTAATTATTACTATTACATATATTACTACTGAAAGTAAAAAGTTATTAAATAATAATGCAGTTACCGTAAAGCGTTTTAATGCATTCATACGAAGTAAAATCCCAAAGTTTGATGGTCAGATCGGCAGAACACGTAGCGAGAAGTTTACCTGATTGGTCGAAATCCAAGTCATTGACGCTATTGGTGTGCCCCTTTCCAAAAAGTTTGATGTTTAAAAAAGTAGTTAAACTTTTTATTAAACAAAATTAGTTATAATGAAATTTAATTTTTTTAAATTGAATTCTAATTCTTACATAAAATATTTAAATAACCAATTAATTAAGTTACAGAAATTAATTAAATTAAATTATACTAAAATAAAAAAATAAAAAAATTATTAACTTTTCTCATTTGAATTAATTTTTAATAAGCTATAAAAACTTATTTATCATAGTAAATAAAAAATATTAATCGTAAATTATTCATAAATTTAAAATTACTTTTAAGGATTTTTCCAATTCTCCTGTTTCAAAATCGTAAATTTTTATAGTAGTATCTTCAGAGACGCTTGCAACTAAACTGAAGATCGGATGAAACTTTACTATAAAAAGATTAAATGAACCCAAAATTACAGCAATTTAAAACTTTTATACTTTAATTTAAACCAAAGTTTTCTATATCAAACGGTTTTAAATTATATAAGAAATTTTTTATATGATAGCTTAAAAAATTATAAATATAAATATAATTAAAAAGCCTTTAGTTATTGGTGAACGATGGCCAGTTAAAGAAAAAAGTTCGGGCGGCCGAGGAATCCATTCTTTTATATAAAAAGATTTTGTGTATTTTTCTTAATAATGGTATTATTAAAAAAAAGTAAAATATAATATTTTTAAATTCTATATTATAATTATTTAGAGAATGAAATTGGTATAAAGTTTTTTTAATAAAATAAACTAACAAGTAAAAAGTTATTATCTTGTTTATTGTTTAAGTAACGATATTAGTAGTAAACTTTTATCACACTTACTGCCATTTACTAGTATGTAAAAAAATATTTTATTGTAAACATTTCGTGCTAATTATTTAATATTTCAATAAAAGATGCTGGTACCCTTGTTATTAGATTTTTTTAAGCCTCCAGTATTATTTTCCTCTGTAAGTTGAGAGATTTTTGCCTCTAATTCCAAAACCTTAAAATCCAGAAATCTTGTTTTAGAGATTTTTTATATAAAAAACAAAGTTACTAAACATTAAGAGAAATCTATGATGAAAAGTATTAAGAATAGGTAAAGTGCCTTTCGCTGCAATCGTATGACTGCTACCCATTTTTTTTCCAGTAATTCTAATAATGTGAAAAAAAATTATATTGCAGACATCTATTACTACTAACAAACGAACACCTTTTGTTTTAGAAAAGTCGGTGTTACTCGGGATCCCCGACTCTCGAATTAAAGTCTTATAAGATTCTTCATAACAGTTTTCTTTTAAATACTCAACTATTGCTATGTTTCTAAAAATAAATTAATTATATGCCTCTTTATAAAAATACTTAACATTAAAATCTATAATACAGCTCTGTTCTTTGTCGATCCGTTAAGACCATAACCTCTTAATAGTTTGACAGTATTGTTCCTTCCAAGGGGGAAGGCCACTTGCTAAGAGCCACTTCACGTTTTAAGTGTAGCGCGTTAAAGCTCCTCGTTTTAGTTAGTTTACTTATCTTTAGTGAATGAATTCTAAGTGATAAACGTAATTTGTTAATATTTTCGGAGAAAGTGTATTATTTAAATTTTACACAAATTTTTTTTTCTTTACGCTCGCAACTAGTTTTTTTTTGTATACGTCATCTTTAAAGTTGATTATAGCTAACACCTCTATTCGTCTGGTTTTCATAGGATGTACGTAAATAGTTGTTGAATAGAGTACATAAGAATAGTTTTTAATAAGTAAATCAACAATATAGAACACGCTTAATACCTTAAAAAATTATGTTAAAATCGTTTTTATTTTCTTTGATGCACACTATTACGCATTCAATTTTGACACTTCTACAATGGCTCGAAGTTAATAAACTATAATTTTATTTCTTCTCGTGGAATAACTCCTAGTACTTTGTATGTACTCGTTTTCTATATTTACTATCAATATTAAGTATAGCGATGAGAACAAGGAGAGTCGGTGTTTATAAATATTTAATTTTTATCGAAATTTATGAAAGTCATGCTTATAAAGGATAAGTATAATTTACACTTCAACACAGTTTTCAAAGTAGCATGAATATAATGAAAAACTACCAATAAACATTGCACTTTTTATAATAATAAATCATTATCAGCATAAATTTTTAATTCTTTTTTTTAAACCATAAACAAGATGGAGAAATTGCCCATATACGATAGGTTATAATAACTAAACCGGCATTCCTCCTGCCGCTCTAAAAAAAATTGTCCCATATACAGATGATTAGACTTAAACATTCATTCCGGCCCATATAAGTTATTGCTTGAGTCCACATAATTCATCATCTATTACAAGCTTAATATAGATGTATTAGACCTAATTAAAGCTAAAATGTTTTATCGGTGTTTAGTCTTACCTAACACAAAGATTCTAGTTAACAGTAATTATAGCACAACAATATTGGAACTGAAGTTGAAAATGTCCCTTTAAGTAGGACTTACTTTTAACGCACTCATTTTTTTTTTATATTAAAAACCATGAAAACGCTACTCACCTATTTTCTCACTCGCTTCAAATTATATCTGCGCATATAACTAATGGTGGTCTCTATGGACAGTTTTAAAGGTAATTCCACCTTGTTAGTCATATAATATTGTTAGTTTATATTGTTACGCCAAACTTATTTTTGTAAGCATATAAATAGTTTGTTGCTTTTGTAGAAAATACAATGATATAATGTACCCCTGTTTTTTTTAGCATGACACTCTACTCGTTAAAAATGGCTTGAATATATTTTTTACAAAATAAAACGGCCGTGAAATAGTATATACATAAATAAAAAGAGAACAAGAAGGAAAGTAGAGAGATGTTTTCTTTGAAGATAAGCATATTAGTCTAAACGTCAAACTTAATTTCCTGTAGAACGAGCGCTCATTCCTTTTATACTTATCTACGTTATGACTATGGATAAATTATTTTTAAACCTCTTATAAAGAATATGGTTAAAAATATTTAACATTGCAAGAGACAACGATTTAAAGCCCTTTATTAAGGGCAACATAAATAATAAAAACTATCAATCACGTAGAAACAAGATAGCAGGTCCAAGTAACTTTTAAGCTTCACACTAAACTACAACTTTTAAGAAGTGAAAATTTTCTTTATAATCACTAATTATAATAATTATTGATCAGCGAGCATTACAAAGAAATTACTATAATTTTACTTTTAATTTGTCGAAACAATTTCTATAGCCTCCCTTTTATTAATTTAATTTTTTTTATTAGATACGAAGTCCGACCCTAAGCAATTTAAGTTGCTCTCTATTAGTTATGATTTATTTTTATTTGGCAATATTTAATTACTCATAAACTAATAAAAAGATGAACAAGCAAAATAAATTACGTTTAAAGCTTCAACCAGATGGCATGGCTCTAATTTTTTTGTGCCCTACAATTATATAAAGAGGGTTAAAGTCGCGCCCATAAAAAAGTTTTGGTGGCTGTCTGCAGGGTTTCTTGCTTTTTTTTATTCTGGGGTCGGTTTTTAAGTTTTTTGAAACCGTTACCCATTTGAATGTATTGTTAAAGCAAGAACTATAAATTCTACCATTACTTTTATGCTTAATTATTGTAAACATGGCTTCACACACTATAGACCCCCAAGCAACTACAAAATTACAAGATCCCCAACTCACTGCTAACGAGTTTGGAAAGGCCTACTACACTAAATTAGTTACCAGCCCCGACGAGATATATAGTATGTATGCTCCAAACGCCCTTCATAGGTCCTCCGATGAAGATAAGGGCGAAACTCTTACTGTTTCTTCTGAGGATCTAGAAGAGTTTAAACTTGTAAGCTATTACTTAAATAAATTAATTTATATGTACTGTATATAAAAGCCTAATTTTGTTATATATAGCGTATTGTAATGGCCTTTAAGAGCTTTGGGATAAAGAAAAATAAAGTGCTTTTCAAACTCCATAATATTACTGGTGTTTGGTCTTCCGTCGAGAGCTTGTTAGTGACAAGCACTGGCGTGATGGCTTTAATTGGTGAAGATGAACAAATTTCTTATCGCTTATTTACTCAAAGTTTCATACTAACTTCTTTAGCGCCAAATACTATTTTTGTAAGTTTTACTATTATTGTTTTATTATTAAAAATTTCTTAAGAAAATTTTCATTACAGATTTTTAGAGATGTTTTTTTTCTGTTTAATTCCAGCTTGGTCAACAAAGATATTTATTCTGAATTTAAAAGCCCTTCTTTAGTTTCTGCTGCCACAAAGACAGATCCCTTAGTAGCTTCTGAAGTTAGTGATTCTCCCAGCGTATTAGAAGCTACTCCTGTTGGATCTGAAAATTCTGCACAATCTGTTATAGAAGAGCCCTCTGTTTGTAGACAAGTGCAATCCGAACAACATGAGGAAGTTGTCTTGGAAGTACACAAAGACCTTAAATGTACTGAAGATATGCAATCTGAAGATTGTAGAAAGATTTCAAATTCTGTTGAGGTAAACGCGGAAACCAAAGACGAAGAGGAGCTTCACCATACTGAAAAAATTGATTTGGACCCAAATTCTTTACGTTCTCAACGAATTTCTTATGCGGCTGCTGTAGCTGTTGGACTCCCTAAGTCATTAAAAATAGTGCATGAGAGTTCTAAATCTGTAGGAATTTCGAGTACTCAAGGAAAAAATATTGAAGAAAAAATTAAAAACGAACCTAATGATCCCGTTGAACATCGCATTGGCCATAATAATGCCGGAAGAAATGGGCGCCGTAATAGCCGTATTAATTCTAGCAAACTTAGTAGCCTACATTTGCTTAGCGAAAATAATAAAAATAGTATTAATAGTGAAAGTAATAATAACAAAACTTCCAAGAAAAACACTACTAACTTTATAAAACGTAATAATAAACCAAACAAAAATTACAACGATTCACAACATCAGAAAACTTCTACAAATATCAATTATGCAAATCAACCTGATACTAATAAAGCTGTGAATAATAGTGATAATTCTTCTAGTAATCGAAGAATAGCTTCCTTTAAAGGTTCACAAGATTCTTTAGCAAACTTTAAGAGTATTTTTTCTTGCCTTCGCATTTTTAATCTTCCTTCGAGCGTGACGTTTGAGCGGTTGCAGAAATTGTTTGCTTCCCGCATTTCCAAATCAGGACATAATGAAATTTTCACCATTAACATCAAAGTTGAGCGCGAGTTGGCTTTTGTGGATTTTCGCGATCCCCATACGGCCAAGTGGTGCTATGATAATGGGCCTTGGGAAATCGACGGCGTACAATTGCGCTACGATTTGCGCCCCTTGAGATCTTCTTTTCAACGACAGCTAGAAAGTCAGATCTATTTTTTTATTTATTATAATTTATCTTTTTTTATTTTTGGAATTTTTATAAATTATCCATGGTTAGTGATGTTTTATTCTATTTTAAAAATTGCAGATCAAAATCGTGGAGCTCGCCAGCGCAGAATGCGTAATAATTTGATCGAAATGCCTTTAAAGCGAGAGCTTCCCAAAGCAGTAGTTAGTCACTAATTTACGTCATGCGGAAAACGGCACCTATGCAAATTTATAGCAGATTTAGCTTTGTCATAGCAAACTTTTAAACATTAAATGTTTTTAAATAGATTAAAATTAATTATTTTCTTGTATTTTAAACTATTCTAGTTGTTTTAACTATTGGATTTAAAGTAACAATAAATTACCTCATAGAAAGGGTTACTTGTAATAAAGTAGTTTGTAACATTAAAGGACGGATGATTCAAACTTTATTAGTTACTGAGAGTTATCCTTAGGTTGCCTTATTCGTGCTATGCGACGTCCATATTCAAATTTTAGCATTTTACATAAAAATTTCTATCAGTAGAGAGCTTAAAAAAACTTAATGGTGTAATATTCTGGCATTCTACTTTCTATGTTTACTGGTTTAAATGTTTGTAAAGTTTGCGAATTTTAGGTGGCAGGTAAACTCTTTTTCAAACTTTAAACTATAAATATTATTGTATTATATTAAAAACTTTTATATTATTTATAAAATTATGTTAATATTATTTATATAAAGTTTTATTATTTTATTGTTTTTACTTTACTAAAAAATTTTTTTAAAACAAACCACTTAGCGGCCAAATATGGCCATACTGTTGCTGATTCAAACATCAGAAGTCTTGGTAAATTTTCTTGAGAACACTTTTAAACATGATTAAATCGTGAAGAGCAATATAACATTAACGAGATACCAGTTTGGTGGCCTCGTAGACAAGGTGCTTATTATACTGAATTGATCGCACGCCGTTATACTTAAAGGGGCATCAAAGCATTTTTACTTAAGTGAAATTGTACCAATTAATATAAGCAGTTTTTTTGAGAATATAATATATTTAGCTCACCTGAACTGAAGACGAATTGCACTGCACAAAATCATTAAAGTTATCTGTAAAACTAAACAGTCTACTTCAATGCTACCATGCTCATTAAAATTTGGTGTTTTACAAAAAAAACTTTGTTTTAATTATTTAAATAAAATTTTTAATATTACTTGTTCTACAATAAAAAATGAACTAAAACCATCATGTAGTTTTAAAGATAACGTACTTAGTTACAAAAAATTTTCTTCTTTTCTTTTACCTCTAGTTAGTTACCTACTATCATTGGCAAAAAATCAATCTTTACAGGAATTTTTCCAAGGGTATTCTGAGGTGCCCTACTTACTAGTAAATAAATATGTTTTAGTTAATTTTACCTTGCTGAAGAGATTTTGGGGAGGGGGGGGGGTAAAGACCAACACTATTTCTTACTTTAATCTAACTAATTTTTAAAAAATTTTTTATTATACTGCTAAGAAAAATATAAATTAGATCAGTAATTCCTGCCTTAAAGTCCCTTTCTGTCGTGGCGGTATGTACGATAATTACTATTTACTATCCTAAGGCAGTTTTTGTAAGAGCTCCCCACATTGTGGCAGAATTAACATCTTTCGTAATAAATCCTCAAACTCAAGTACTTGTATAGACCCTTTGCATTTCAAAAAAGAATATTTTAAGTTATATGATCTTCAATGCAATGGGTTAAGCAAAATTATGGTTAGGGTTAGGTTAAGCTTTATTTTTTAATATTTATGTGATAAGCCATTCAAAAGGTAAAAATTCTCAGTATGTGTTTTATAACCTAGTCTATTTTTATCACAAAAAAGATTTTTTTTATCAACTTCGTATACGATAGAATATTTTGGCAGGTAAACAGTATAAAGGAATTAGTGGAACATTTAAAGTAAGCAATTTATAGCTTAATATTTATTATTATTATTATTATTATTATTATTATTATTATTATTATTATTATTATTATTATTATTTTAAAAAGAAAAGCAGTTTTTTAGTTACTCGGTGTTTTTTTTGTAGTTAGCTTAGACTTAAAGTGTGCTTAGGGTTGGGAACTTTTAAATAAAAAACACTTTACTCCGTGCACCCTTGCTTGCGTATCCTTTGTCATTAATACAATAGTTGTAATTTTTTATTTACTTATACTCCTGTTAAAACATAAAATAGCATTTTAATTTTCGACTTGTAAATTTTATTACACGCGAAATTTATAAAGGTAGTGATCAACTGCGACTGATTCTGCAAACATACTAAGTATCGCGATATTTCTTTTCTAGTTTCAAAAGTATTGCTAGAAAAAAGAACGTGCAAAAAGAAATTTTTTTTCGTTCATAGTTTCATAGTACTATAGGATTAAAAGCTCGCTCTTTCAAGTTCTCTAAGATTAGACCTGTTTAATTCGATCAATAGCTTCTTAACCACCTTAAATCATACCTTCTGGGAGTGCGTAGGCTTAAACTCGCATCCTTAAGAAGAAATGGTTTTCATTATTTTGCGATAATTTGCTAAATTCTTTATATATATATATTGAATACCGTGCGAAACAATGTCAGCATTTAAAATATATTTTTATTTAAAAATTTTCTTATCCATCTTAAGCCTAAAGAGGAAGCGTATTTAAGCCAGTATAAAGGGGTAATATTTATTGTTGTTGACCAAACATACTCTTTTCAGTGGCCTTGAAAGGATGGAGTACGTGACTGTTTTGTATTAACCGTAATATATACGACTTTCCCTCCTTTAAGTGGTCATTCTTTCGGAAAGTTTTCTATTAAAGTTTATTCCATCCAGTTTAGTAGATTTTAACTTTTTTCTAATTTTATTGATAAATGTTTTAATTAGCCAACAGCTTTCGCTGAGAGACTCACGTTTCGTAAAAAATATTTAAAAACCTAAATAGGAAAAATGAATAAATACATTTTAAAGAAAAGCTTAGCAATATATATGTAAACAAGTAAAAACACTATATCTATATTTTAACGTGCACCTATTATAGATTACCGAAATTCTATCATGAAAAATATTTTTGGAAAAATTCTTTAATTAAATTAAGCATTGCTGATTTTACTGTCAAGAGCTTCGAAAAACTGATGAAAACTAGTAATAATGCTACCTATTAGAATTTTTTTTAAGTAAATATAGAAAAAACACTTTTTGTACTATTTTTTTTTTGTCATGGGGAAAAGGTTTAAATACCGTACGATATATATACCTTAAATTTAAAAATAACGCAAATGACGAAGTGCTAAAGTTATCTTTCATGTAATTGGATGATAAATACAATTAATTTTTGTCTTATTGCCTTAATTAAGTTTAGTTGCGTTTACGTTTTAGCAATAGTAAAGTTTTGTACTAACTTTTCTTTTGTTCATTAAAAGTTAATTATCTGTACCATTCTAAATGTTTTTGAAAGTTATTATTCAGCTAAGGAAAATTGCAACTCCCTTTTTACATTAGCAGCAAATTTTATTTAGTCTTTGCTTGTTTATAAGTTATCGATAACTGGGAAACTAAAACAATTTTTTTTATTGACTATTAAAAGAAAATAAAGCACACAACTGAGCGGCAGAAGTATAAAAGTGAATTCTTTTTATTGCTGTTAATACAAAAAATAATAAATAATCCGCTTTTTTTCCCATTTTATTGATTAATCTTAGTAAAACTAAATTGAGTCTACTTTCGAACTTTAAATTTTATTTTAAATGCTTATATATTTTATATAAAATCGGCTTGGAAATTTATCGTTTTTTACTTTATTTATAAACTATTAGAGATTGCATTTTGTACATTTTATTAACTTTTTAATTTTTAAAAATACTTCTTAATTTTGGTGGACTTTTATTATTTTTAATAAAATTTATATAATTTCTTTTTATTAATTTTCCTTACAACATCAAACTATTAAATTTATTACTAATAAATTAATTTAGTAAACTATTAAAGGTTGCATTTTCTAGAGATCATAATTTAATATACTTTTCGGCTTCAGAATATTTAGTTTTCAATAAAAGTGAACTTGTAAATAATATTTATGCCGTTAAAGTTTTCTAGTTTCCACAGCATACTTTAGATTGAAAACTCCGTCTATAGCATAATTTTTTATTAATTTTTATAAACTAAAATTCTTGGTTTCCATTATACAAGTAACCTCTTATTATTAAAAAATGAACGATTTACACTAAATTAAAATATCGTAGTTTCTTATTCTATAGGAAATTATTAAGATGTGCTTTTTAATGAAATATTTGATTTATCTAATTATTTAATAATATATATAAATATTCTGGATGAAAAGCTTAAGGTTTCCTCACATTTTTATTAAAAAGTAAATTTAAAAAAAAAAGTTTCAAACTTTTTAAAATTTTTTAAGTTACTTAAGTTATTTTTAAACTTTTTAATTAAACTTTTCCCCTAAAAAAATAAACAATTTAATATTTTACTATAAAAATTAATTTTTTTACGACTATTTACTGGGCTGTTCTTAACTTTTTTTATTTTGTTTTTAGTTAAATCGCCCTCTAAAATGAAAGTCAGATAAAGTCATCAAACTAAACTTCAGTTAAAAACTTTATTTTGATCTATTACCCTTTTAATTTTCCCTTTAGAAAGGTCATACTCTAAATGGATATTAGAATTAAAATCTTTATGTAAATTATTTTTATTTGAAAACTTTTTATTGATACGCTTAACTTTTGCTTTTTTTTTTTTATAACTGTCACCCCCCCTCTAAAATTGAAAATCAGTTGTGAAATCTTTACTATTAAAGTTAACCTTTTTTAAAAACATATTAACGATCCGATTCATTTTTTAATTTTTATTATATAAATGTCATCCTCTAAATTGGAAATGAGATTTAAAATCTTTTCTTTGTAATTAATTCTTTAAAAACTTTTTATTTTTATCTACATAACTTTTTTTTTTTGTTCTTTATAGCTATCACCCTCAAAAATGATTAAATTTAAAAGCTTTACTATTAAATTTTACTTATTTTAAAAACTTTTTATAAAACTGCTTAACTTTTGAATACTTTGGTAAGCGTCATCGTCTTCAATGAAAATTAAATTGAATTCTTTTATTAAAAATTTTTTATTATAAGAATTTTTTTCAATTTTTATTGGTCTGCTTAAGTTTTTCTACTTTTTTAGCAAAGCAACCTTTAAAATGTAAAATAACTTAAAATCTTGACAGTAAAATTTAATTTAGTATTAAACTTTCGTTAAATTGCTTAACTTTGAGTAATTATAAAAGTCGTGAAAATTAGCTTGAAAATTTTTTTAAAATAAAAATTATTTTGTGTATTTTTTCGAAAACAAATTGTTATGCTAAACTTTTTTATTATAATTTTCTTTCAAACTCCTCCCCTAAACTTAAAAATAGATGAAAGTTTTTTTAAAAAAAAATTTTTTCTTTCAGAAATTTCTAGTTGCTGCTTAATTTTTTAAATTCTATTTTTCAATAATTCTAAAAAATAGATTATAAATCTTTACTATAAAACTTAACAATTAAAATTTTGTTTCAAACTTATCGCCTAATTATTGTTTTTTTGAGTAAAAGTTCCCCTTTAGAAAGTATAAACGGATTTAGTGGTCCTGGCTCGGAGTTTACTGGGAACTTCAGAGGTTTTTCTTCGCTTTCTTGATCTATTCAGCCGTCTATTATAATTTATAAATAACGAATTTTTTGATTTTAATTAATAAAGTAAAATTAATTCTTTAATCAGTAATAAAAAGTTTAATAAATCTTTAAAAGAGGACAAAAAGATTAATGTAACAAATTATAATTTTCTCCATCAACGTAAAAATTCTTTAAAATATTTTTTAATTTTTCAATTAGTAATAAAATTGTTTAACAGATTTTACTTTTTTCAAAAATTTAATTAACCTTTCAATTAGTAATAAAATTGTTTAAACAATTTTACTTTTCTATATGAAAGTTAATATATCTTATAATTAGAAATAAAAAGGGATTAATTATGTAAATTTTTTTTATTTTTTCTCCAAAGATTTTATGAATATTTCAGTTAATAATTAAAATTGTTTTTCTCCAAATTGTAATATATTTTTTCAATTAGTATTAAAATTTTTTGACCAATAATAATTTTTTTATATAATTTGATTTATTTAAATTAATAGTAGAATTGTTTGAACAATTTTTGATATTTAATATACGAATATAATAAATCTCATAATTAGTAATAAAAAAGATTACTTTCTTAACAAATAATTACATTTACTAAAAATTTTAATAAAGCTTCTAATATTATTATAAAATTTGATATATTTTCCAATTTAGTAATTTTAAAGTGCAATACTTTTAAATATTTACTTTTTTAAATATTTTAAAACTTTTAATTCGTAATTAAAAAGAAATCTTTTTGCAATTTTTTAAAAAATAATATAGATTATTTATAATAAACATTTTTCTTACCGCGTTTCTCTCAATTTAGCGTTCAAGTAGTGCTCAATAACTTCCTCTGAAGCGATTTCGAGATGTGGCTCCCATGCAATTTTTTCATTCTTTTTAATTTCTTCAACGCGAACTTCAAATTTTTTTTTTTATTATTATTAAAAAATATACATATAATATAGATTGTCATATACATAACTTGTAAAAACAATTAAGTATATATATAAAAATTATAATTTATAAAAGAAAAATATTATAAAAATGGAAAAAAATGATAAATTTTTTTGATATACAAAAAAATAATAAATATTTACAAAATTTGGGTTTATATAAAGACCTGGAGGAAAAGAAACTGCAGGAAGTTTTTCAAGAGAATGACTTTCGATAAGATCTTTTAGTTTAAAGTAAATCTAATTTATAATCAAAAATTGTGTAAATTTTTTTAATATATTATTATTAATTTTGATATATGTAATATCTTTAACTATAACTTCTATATACTTTTCGATAGCTTTATTTTCTTTATTATTATATAAAAATACTTTTTTAAAAGGTGTATTTACTTAACGATATATATTATATATATTATTCTACAAAATATATTTACTTATTATTTATTACTTTTATATAAAATTTATAAATATTATTTTTATCTATTATATCTATTTAAAAATATTTTAACATTATAATTTTGCATCATTATTTCAAGTATATAGGAAAAGAAAAGTTAATCGTTTTTTTGGTCCGCACATTTAAACTTTTTTAAATTTAGAAATAGAATTTTCCATCTACCTCATTGGTCTATAAAAAGGGGTATTTAATGATAAGCTTACTTTTCTTTGTATATTAAAAATGAAACCAAAATTAGTCAATTTAAATTAATATATTTAAATTATTTACTTATTTTAAAAATCAAACTAAAAATATAAAAATAAAATAATTTACTTTTTTTGAAATTTTAAAAATCAAACTAAATTTCCTAATTATAATTTATTTAAATATTCCAAATCAACTGGAAATATCCAGTTATAAGTAGAATTATTAAGTCTTCTTTTTAATTAGTAATGAGTCTAAAAATATTTATTTTAAATATACTTTAAAATCAAACTAAAATATTCCTATTAAATTTAAACTAAATAATTATTTTTTTAATCGTAAGTCAAACTAAAATATTCAATATAAATTAAAATTAAAATAACGCACTTTTTTAAAAAATAAAAATAAAATAATTTAATATCAAACAAAAAATATTCACTCAAAATTAAATCAGATATAATTTACTTTTTGCATAAATTAAAAAAAACAAAAAATAATAAATTTCAAATTAAATTTTAAAACAATTTTTTTTAAAATTTTAAGTTAAAACTAAAAATATTCAATTTATTTGTAATATAACTTACAATTTTTTTTAAAATTAAAAATTTCCATCATTATAAAAATATTGGAAAAGAATAAAATTTTTTAAAGATTATAATAACCTGTTCACGAATGCCGTGCGAAATGACTGCCACAAATTCCCCGCTGAGCCCCAAGTCTGCGCAAACAACTTCAGCAAAATGTTCGGGATTATTGTCTATATAAAAATAATTATGAATGAAATTTATATATATATAAAAAGTAATACTTATATAGTAAAAATTAAAAAAATGTAGTGAAATTGTTTAAAAATTTATAAATTAAATTATTAAATAATAAAAAATTTTAAATAATTTTTTGTAAAATAAAAATTATTATCTAGTAATTTTTTAATTAAAAGTAAAAATAAAATTTTTATAATAGATAGTTTATACATAAATATATTATAAATTTAAAATTACAGAGCAAATACAAAGAAAATTTAAATTTATATATAAAATTTTGTGAAAGAAAATAAATTATTTAATAATTTTAATACAAATCAAAAACTTAAAGAAAAAATTATTTGATATTTTTTTAAATAAATAATTGCAAAAAATCTTATAAAATTTAATTTAAATAAAAATTTTAATAAAAAATAGAAAAACGTAAATTATATAATTAAAAAATTACTAATTTTAATTTTAATTTTAAAATAATTTTTTTATATAATTAATAGAACTTATTATTATTAAATATAACATTTAAAAAAAAAATTTATTTTTACAAGAAAATAATAAAAATGAAAGATGTGTGAAAGTTAAAAAAATAATAAATTTAAGAAAAAGATACTATTTTACTATTTTAATACTATTTTTATAATTATTTTTATTTTAGAACGTTGGAATTATTAAACAGTATTATTAAAACAAAAAATATGAATTAAAAATATCTATAAAATATAATATAATGAAAATAAATTAAAAAATAAAAAAATAAAAACTTTTATAGTAATATTATAATAAATTTTAAAAGATAGATAATAAATTTGAAAATTAACTTTAATAAAATATTATTATTAAAAAATATAAAAAAATTTTTAAGAAAAACGAAAATAAATTCCAAATTAACTATAAAAAATTTTTATATAAAAATTTAAAAAAAGCATTTAGAAGAAAAAAAATAAATTTGAATATTAACTTTTAAAATACATTTTTATTTATAAATATAAAAATTATTAAGATTTATTTTTTATAATACAAAATTATTCCTTAAAAAATAAAAAATAGATAAAGGAATTTTTATTTCTATAAAATATTAATTATAAAAAGGCAATTCAAAAGTTAAAAATAATACAAATTAAAATTGATTTTTGAATAAAATAAATTTAAACAAAATTATAATTATAAAGTTCACAAATTTTAAAATTAAAATTAAAAAACCAACTCTAAAGAAATATTTATTAGGTATATTTATAATATATTTAAATTAATTTTTTTTTAAATAAATATAATAATAAAAATTAAAATTCATGTTGAAAAATTAAAAAAATAATAATTACTTAAGAGTTCAAAACTCAAAAAAAACCAAAAATATATAAATTTATTTATTTACAAAACAAATTATAATTTTATAATTAAAAATATATAAATAATAATTAAAATTAAAATTTTTGTTGAAAGAAAATATATTAAAAAGTTCAAAACTTTAAAAAAAATTAAATTAGAAAATCAGTTTTATGAAAATATTATTATTAATATATTTAATAAATATATTTATTATATAATTCTACAATGTTCTTTATTTTTGCAATATTTTTAATATAATTTTTATTTTTTTTTGATTTTATAAATTTCGTAAACAGTTAAATATTTACGCTAAAATTATTTTAAACCTGTTTTATTTCTTAACTTTACAACAAAATTCGTGTAAAAGTTATAATAATTATAATAAATGTTTATAGGTAATTATAAAACATAAAAAGGTAATGATATAAACGCTATTATATATATGAATTAAGAAAATATTAAAAGATAATAATTAAAAATATATTTAAAATTAATAAAAAAATTATAATTTATAATTATACAAATAATAATTATAAATAAAAAATTTTATCGTTTCATAGAGCCAACCAGAACAGTTCAAATCCCATTCAATCTGGTCAGTATATTGCAATTTTCCCACGTACGCTTCAAGCTTGACAGTTTTTTTATAAAAATAATAAATTATTAAAAGAACATTTTAAAAAAAGATAATAGTAATTTTTAGTACAATTAAAACAATATCTTTTATTATAATCTTAAAATAAAGTTTTATGTTAATAGTAAATACTAAAATATTAAAATTTTAAGATTATTATTATTCAATAAGTTTAATTAAATAACTGTATTTGTATAATTATTATTACTATAAAACACTTTAGAATAAAAAAAATTAAAAGAAGTTTAATCAAAAAAATTCCAAGTGAATAACAAAATTTATAAAGTAAAAATAAATAAAACTTAATTTGATTTCATTTTTATATATTAATAAATAATTTTTTAAAATAATTTTAAAAATCAAAAAAGTATAGAAAGTTAATATAATTAAAAAAAATTATAATTTTACGATACAAATAAAACTCTTTTAAATTTTAAAGTATATTTAAGTTACTTTCTATACAGCAAATTAAAAATCACGACGTTAAAAGATAATTAAATAAACTCATAAAAAATTAATTATATAAATAACGCAATGCCAAGAAATGTACTATATTTAACAATAAACTAAATCAAAACAAAATTTATATATATTTAGATTTATTTTAAAACAACTTAGATATCACAAATCAAAAAAAGTTATTAATTAAATTCTAAGATTATTATAAAAATTTAAAAATAATTGTAGATTAATTTTTTTAAGTTTATATATAAATACTGTATAATTTTGAGACAAAATTTTAAAAAAAAGAAAAAAGAAACTTAGAATAAATTAATATATAAATACAAGAATTTTAACCAAAAAATTTACGCTGTAAATTAAAAATCATAAAATTAAAAATAGTTAATTAAATAAAGCCCAAATATATTAACAAAATTTAAAAGAAAATTAAACTTTTTAGTTAAAAAATCCCAAAATCATTAAGTTAAAAAATAAGTTAATACCATAAAAATTAACTAAATTTAACACTAAATCTGTACTTTTTTTAGTTAAAGAGTTTACATATTACTGAATCATTTTTAAATAAAGTTCATAAAAAAATCAAATAAATAACATAATTTAAAAATGATTGTAAATAAAACTTTTTTTTTGATTTCATTTTAGATGATTTTAATATCTTATAAATTACTTTAAAAACTATAATAATTAAAAAAAGTTAAGAAATACATTCAAGAAAACTAACAAAATTTAAATACAAATTTAAATAAAAACTTTTTTTTCGATTGAATTTGATATATATAAATTATTCTTTATATAGCAAATCAAAAATCATAAAATTAAAAAAAAAGTTAATCAAATAAAAAAATAAACTTTTTTTATTTTATTATAATATTTAAAATAATATTTTTTCTAGTTAATTCCAAAAAAAAATTCGCCATATTTATAAATAAAATTGATTAAAACTCTTCTGATATAAATTTAATAGTTACAAAATTATTTTTATAAATAAATTGAAAATTTTAAAAAAAAATTAAAGTAGTTTATTTATTATATTTTTAAAGAAAATCGACTAAATTTAATTATAAAATTTTAATATACATTTATTAGAACACGTTGCTCTCCCGTAAAATTATAAGTCGAAAGTAATCCTTTAAAAATGCTGTAATCTTCGATTTGTTCAATTAAAGATTCTGCAATCTAAAATTAATTTTTTATAATTTATAAAAAATTATTAAAATTTAGTAATTTCCTAGTAAAGCTAATAATAATAATTAAAAAAATTGTAAAAAATCAAATTTATTACTTTTTTTTATTAAAAGGTAAATTTCAATATTTTTGTAAAAATTTTTACTAAATTTATAAAAAATAATTTAAATTTCAGTGTTTCTTTGGCAAAAGCTATTTATATTTAAATATTTTTTTTAAAAAAAGCTTATTACCCATTTGTTAACTTTATTGTTAGCATGCATAGAAAATTTACTTTTAGCCCTAGGAGTTACATTTTCACTCGTACAAATCCTTTATATAGTTCAAGAACATACTCATTTTTAAAAGTATATTATTGTTATCGGTACTATTAAAATATATAAAAAGTTTTTTAATAAATAATTAAGCCTTTTTCATATAGTAAATTTGGGCAAAAGCTAAAATTTATTATCCAATTATATAATAATTTAAATAATTTATAAAAATTAAAATTTAGTGACTTTTTAAGAAAAAGCTAAAGTTTATAAATTTTATTGTTTATTTAAAAAAATAATTAAAAGATTTATTAAAAATTATTTATAATTTAGTACTTTTTAAAAAAACTAAATTTTATTTAATTTCCCAGGAAAATTATTTATTTAAAAGGTTTATAATTAAGATTTTAAAATTTAGTTCTTTTTAGTAAAAGCTGAAATTTATTACTTGATTTAAAAAAATCATAAAAAATTATAAAAAAGAATTAAAAATTTATTAATTTTAAAGCAAAAGCTAAAATTTAATATTTTAAATTTTATAATTTAAATATAAAAATATCTAAAAAAATTTAGTACTTCTTTAGCTTTTAGCAAAAGCTTAAATTAATTATTGATTTTAAAATAATTCAGTAGAATTATGATAAATAAGTAAAATTTTTTATCCTATTTTAAGTACTTTTTTAGCGAAAGCTTAAATTAATTATATAATTTATATAATAATTTACAAGAATTATAAAAAATAATTTAAAATATACTTTTTTTAACATACTGAAAAAAATTATTTGATTTTTATAATAATTTAAATGATGTGTAATAAATGATTTGAAATTGTATTCTATTTTAAGTACTTCTTTAGTGAAAGCTAAAATTAATTATTAATTACATATAATAATATAAAAGAATTATTAAAAATAATTTTTAATTTAATACTTTCTTAGCAAAAGCTGAAATTTATTATTTGATTTTTATAATAATTTTCAATAAATAATAAATAATTTTAAGTTAGTACTTCTTTAGCAAAAGACTGCGGAACTTCCAAATCTTCACACAAAATTTCAGAAAATTGCTCGGGGGTGATTTGTTTTTCTAGTTTTATAAATTTTTTTTAATAAAATGAATTAATTTTTATCCTTAAATAATTTTTTTAAACAACTTTTTTTTACTATTCTCATATTTTTTTATACTTTTCATTTATTTATTTTTATATTTTACTAATCCCTTTTAATTTATTTTATTTTTTTGTTATACTAATTTTACTAAATTTAATTTTATTTTTTGTTGTTGTTTTCCTAATAGATTATTTTATTTTTATATTTATAATTTTTTTTATTCCTTATGTTTTTAATACTTTTTCATTTATTTTTGTATATTTACTAATTTTATTTAATAAATTTAATTTTTTATATTTTTATTTTTATTTATTTTTCTTAGATTACAAATTATTATAAGTATTTTATATATTTTACTTTTTATTTTTTTTTATTTGATTATTTATTTTTATATTTTCTATGCTTTTAGTTTATTCATCTTTATTTATATTTTTTTAAATAATGACTTAAATATTTTACAATTTCTTATTTATTTATTAACTTTTATATTTTACTTTTAATAATTTCATACATTTAAAAAAAAATTTTTTTAATTTATTAATTTTTTTTATTTATTTACTTTCAAGTTAATTTTACTTTGTACTTTATAAATTTTTATAATAAATTACTTTTTTTTTTAATTATTAAGAAAATTTTATATAATATAAAAATTTGATAATAGATTTCTTTACATTTTTTCTTTTATCTAAAAAATATACGATTATTACTATAAAACTTCATATTTTTTAAGAATAATTAAATTAAAAGTTTTTTTTTAAAATTTAAAAAAAAATTTTCTTTTAGTATTAATTACATTTAAGTAAAAAATTTTTGTACAATTTTTTAAATAATAGAAGTGTTTATTAATATTGTAAATAATTAAATTTTTTTATTATTTAAGAATTTATTTATTTTTTTTATTTTTATAAGTATTTATTAGTAATTATTTTTTAAGATAAAATAAAAGTTGAACTATTAAATTATATAAAAAAAAATTTTAAAATTCACACATAAAGTTCGCAAAAAAATTAAGAGAAGTAAATTTTAACATTATATTATTAAGTAAACATTAAAATTATTATAATTATAATAATAATAAGGATAATAAATATTAATAATAATATGAGATACTATGAAAATAACTATTTTGTATAATAATAATAATATAATTTATAATTAATTTCAAATAAAAATAGGTATTAAAAAAAATTATTAGACGGTAAAAGTATATGTCTTTCGTTAATAAGGTTGAGATTTCATAAATCATAATAATGAAATAATAATATAATAACAAGTATAATAAACAATATTAAAATTAGTTTCTAAAAAATTAAAAAATTAATTTTTACTAATTAATTAGCCAATTTATATTATTTTATTAATACTGTTAAAAAGAAGTTTACTAAACATAAATAATAATAATAATAATAAAAGTAATTATTATTATAATATAAAAGTAAATTTTATTTTAAGAAAAATTAAAAAAAAGAAATTTTTAATTGGTCAAAAATAATTTCTTAGTTAATGCTGATTAGATTTTATAATAGAATAATAATAATAAATATCATAATAAGAAAAATAGAATTTAAATTCAATAATTTAAAAAATAAAAATTGAAATTATTAATTAGCTGAAATATATCTTTTTGTTAATACTGCTACGATTTCATAAAAAATTATTTATTTTTGATAATGCTTTTAAAATATTATAAAAAGAAACTCAAAGTCTCTGTTAATACTGTCGAGATTTTAAAATAATTATAAATATTATAAAATAATAAACTACAATTAACTTATAAACCACTTTTGAAAAAAATAAAAGTCGGAATTATTATGCCTATAAATAATACTAATAATAAATATTAAATGATATAAAAAATAAATTTTTTTACTATTTTTCAACATTTTAAAAGAATAGGAGTAACAATATAGTCTTATTGTAGATATGGTTATGATGCTATGAATAATAATAATTTGATTAATAATAAATCTTATATTACTTTAAAATAAAATTAGCATAGAATTACAAAGATTCTATAAAAATCAGAATTTTAAGAAAAACCATGAAGATTCCATAGAAAGGTTTCCCTGATTTTGTATCCGTTATGCTCAAGATCAAGTGAAATAGGAATTAAATCTGTTTGCTTTTTAAAATTTTCGGGTTGCTCAAAAGTATCAGGAAGATAACTAATTAAAATTAAACAATAGAAAATTTTCATAATATAATTAGAAGTACTAACGAAAAAGATTTGGCTAGAGGATTGTAAGGCTTCTTAATAAAGTTTGGAAGAAACTGGACAAATTTGCTAAAATCCTCAGCAGAGTGCAATATTTTAGTAGCTCCACCGAATTCTGCCGGTGAGTAGTCTAAAACTTTTATAAATATAGAATTAATATATTATAAAAAAGAAAAAAATTAGCTAAAAGTTTAAATTTATATACATCAACGGCAACTGCTAAAGTAGTTTGTAAAAAGGTAAACTAAATAAAATTTTAATTATATTTATCAAGAAAACCTGCTTCTTTTACTGGCTTTGGATGAACAAAAAGGTTTTCTTGAGTTTTAACGGCTAAGATGGGTGGAACTTTTTTTAAATTTTCGTCATCCCCATTAATAATTTGAGCTACCTTTAATAATTCTTTTTATCAATGCGAAAATTTTAAAGATTTTTATTATACTTCGGAAGCTCGCACTAAAGTAGCGATGCTGTTTGTTGTAATTCCTACGCTTTGGAGTTGGCTTAGTTCAGCAAGTTCTGCTTTACGTTGATAGAGTGAAGGATAATTTTGATATAACGCTCCTGCGGGCTTTGATAAGTATCTTTAAAAATTAAAAAATTATTTAATTTTTATAATGTTAAATTAAAAGCAATATGTTTAAAGTTCATGTTAGTTAAAATAATAGTATACTATATACTTAATGAAAGAACTTTTAAAGCAACCTAGAAACTTCTGAACCCAAGCATAACTCTTCACCGTTGGCTCCAAACTTAAATTTTACGGGTTCAGGAATTTCTCGATTAACGTCATTATGGACCATTTCCAACAAAGAATTACTTTTTTTTAATATATTGTTGTGAAGTGTTAAAGTAAACGATATTAATCCGTCGAACTTGAGCCACTTTTTGTTCTTAACTTTAAAAAAAGCCAAAAACGTTGCGAGGCTATAGAAACGTATCAGTACTAAACTTTTAAACAGTATTAAAAACGATTGGTTTAAACCTTTCCTCTCTAGAACAGTTTAGAAGCTTGTACAGGAGAGTTTTTAATATTTCTTTTTAACGTATTATCTTTTTAAAACTTTATCAACTTTACTAAATAATAAAAATAGTAACCCTTACAGTGAATATAAGACTTTTTTAATTTGTTCGACTTGTATAGTAATTTTATTATGTTAAAAAAATTTTTTTGTTCCTAGTATTGAGCAAAGGCGTAACTTTACTATGTTTAAAAAACACTGATCTTGATAGTAAACTTGAGCGTTTTTCAATAATACGCTTTCTTTTCAAAACTTTTAATAACATTATTAAAAGTAATAAAGTTTATCCCAATAGTTGGAAAAAAAACACATATAAATTATCTTTTTTTTAAAAATTCTGTAAGTTTATAATATATATGAAAAAATCGATTCTTACAGTAAATAAAAGCGTTTTTCAATAATTTATTTATATTTTTAAAAATTTTAACAAATCAAATTATAAATTTTAGTGTAACAGTGACGGAGAGCGTTTTTCAGGAGTTTCTTTTTACTATTTCAATAACTTTATTTTGTTAAAAATAACTTTTATTAACTGTAATGTTAATACCAGCAGAAGACAAGAGCTTTTTTAAAAAAATTTATGTAATTTATTATATAAGAATAATTGATTCTAACAATACACTAAAAAAACCAAACTGTCTTTAGAATTGTAACTCGTAAAATTTTAAACCTATAAAAAAACGATAAAAAAAAATATTTAAATATAGTAGACGGTATTATCGAAGCTTTTAAAAAATTAAGGAAAAAATTAATTACGATTATTTAGTAGAGCAGGTAAAAGTAATAAAGATGGAATTTTTATATGACGCTTATTATATACGAATACAAAAATAATGTAGGTTTGATAAAAGAGTATAAGAGTATTTTATTTATGAAAAATATGGGGTTGTTAGTCATACTTAATAATTCTTTTTCTAGTCAGTAGAAGGTCATTAAAATTATTTCCTGAACTGCTGAAATCAATTAAGGAAAAACTTGAAAAATAAAATTTTTAAATACGCACTCTAGCAAACATATTAAAATTAAAAATTACATTGAAAAGAAAATTTTCAATTACCACAAATGATTATAAGACTCATCAGCGTGAGTAAATTGTAATGTTATTGAAGTTAAAAAAAAATTAGATCTATATTATAATTCCATCCTGTTAAGTAATACCGCCAACCAAAGAACAAGGCGATTAAACAAAAACGTTATTAAAAGAAAAGTAATTTTTCTTAACAATCTTAGTCAAGAGTTTTCTTAAGTTACATTATGATCGTATTTTTATAAAATTGTTGTGTTTATCTTCACACGTAGTACAATTAAATCTTGACTAATAAAAAATACAAAACAACATTTTCATGAGAGCTGGACAGCGATCCACTCCAAACCAAGTAAGCTGGTCATGACCCTTGACGAGGGCTTAATTTCTTTTTTTTTTTTTTGATTTTTACGGATGCTCGGTGAGTCGAGTGCAAACCGCTTAGTCTTAATTCGGGCACAAGTAGTCGCCCGTACATTTTTTCAGGAGGAATATCATGAATGTTTTGATTTTCTTGGGAAGGCAGTGCAATACGTGGAAGCTTCCCGGTCACACCGCAAACTTGGACTTCTCAGATCGGACGGGTTGAGTGCTTTTCGCCAGAGCACCACCCCCCCCCCCCCCCAAAACTTAATTTTCCTGGTTTGTGTTTACTTTAACAGCTGCATTCTATCAGTTTGATCCCGATACCCATCCTAACTAAACAGCCCCTACCCCTTTTTACTGTGGTCGTCCATATCTTGGCGGCATAGTAAAAAACTCCTAAGTGTATTAGGGTTTTATATTTTAAAATCAGGTCGAGCAAGCTATCCAAATTATTAGATTTTGACAGTATTTTTGCTGGAGTCTTTTATAATTCTGGTACACCAACTATTTTTCTTTTGTGAGCATATCAAATGGATTATCACCATGAGACCGTGTAAAATAAATACAAATACCTGTTGCCGCCGCAACTCTTCCTAACCCTATTTTGTCCACTTGGCAGCAATGTTAAACATGGAAGTGTTTCAATGTTATGTTAATGGTGCTTTTACTATACCAGCACTAACTGATAATATTGACGTGGAAGTGTCTGATGGTGCTAAACTGCCAAAAGGATATAACCGTGTCTCTTCAGGTCAATGTCATGGATTGAAATAATCTAACATGTGACATGAAAACCTCTTAAACTACGTCCATCTAGAGTCATAGCACTCCTGAGTGTACTAGTCAAGTAAAAGGACTTTCATTCCGGTCCTTTTAAACGTAGATAAATGCCTAGCCGTGTGCATCAGAAAGGAATTAAGCGACGCATGTTGTCCAGTACTGGAAAAGGCAAATTAATTACTTGGGATGACTAGGAAAGGAAATTTTTTTTTTGAACCAGGAGAAATACATTACTGACATTAAGATCAGATTCAATATGACTAATGCCAAACCATTTAAGGACACTGGCACTAATGATAATACTGCTAACAGCCAAAAGTTAGCTGTACAGCTATAGAAAGAGTTGGCTGGTTCCTTGCTCTACCTTTCGATTTGTTTTTAGCAAGATATAGCTTTTACTGTGAATAGCGTGGCTTGGAATGCATCTAGCCTTACTACAGCGGACTGGAAAACAGAGCAACACATCGTTAGACACTTGATTGATACGATGCAGTACAGGATTTCCATCGACGCAATGCGACATTCTCTATAGAGGGTTTTGCGATAGCCATTACGCTGGTTGTTTTAAAACCCGACGAAGTACGACGGGATACCTTTTTATGATGAATTATACTTCTGTTGTATGGAAGTCTATACTTTAAAAAACAATAGCCCTGTCGACGATGGAAGCCGAGTTGAGGGCAATAGCGAACGAGATGGAAGCTTTATGGTTTATCTACTTCGTAGAGGAAGCTGCCCTTTAGAAATTTCATCCGTTTGTACATCGAAAATCAAGCAGCTATCAAAATATATAGCAATGTAGAGCATCACATAAGGTCGAACACATTTGGTGTCAGATACCTTCACATTTGTGATGAGCAGAAAAGCAATACTTTGTCCCTGCATTATATTACTTCAAAGTACAATACGGCAGACCTACTCCCCAATTTGTATCTATTAGGAAACTTGAAGGTGCAAGCAGGCACAAGTACTTTATCAGAATTTGAGGGGTATTGGAGTTGACTTTCATAAATCACGTGCTCTAGACACGTGGTATGTGTTATTAATCACATGTTCGTAGCATGCACTCATACCACGAGTCTTTACGGCTGTCCCATATATTGTACAATTTATCTTTCCTGGAGGCGCAACTACCCTTTTTCTATAGATAGTAAATCGACCACTCCTCTTTTTCTCCGCCTAGGAATACAGTGGTTCAAAGTATATCGTTGATAAAAAAAGTAAAACCTTTATTTGTACTACCTTCTCGAGAAATTAAAATACTTATAAGGATGTTGCCGCTGTATCATAATTGCAGAACACAAAATTACCATTTTTAAAAAAAAGCAAATATTATAAAAATTGCAATTGAAAAAAAAAGAAATGATTTTTAGGTCTAACATGAAAAGCAAAAAAGGCTTTTATTACTAAACTTAAATAAAAACTTCCTTGCAAAATATCTCGTAGACACAAAAGTAGAATTCAGACTCCTTATACCCTCCAGCACAAAACTCTAATATTATACAGCTGGATACAATATTATATATATTACCACTTAACTATTCCTTACGAGGTATACTATAATGATAGAATGCTTAACTATTGGGATTCTACTAAAATCTTTTTTAATAGTTTATAATTAATTTACAATATTAATAATTAACAGCTTAACAAGCTAAAAGTAAAGTCATCTCGGACAACAATGGCTTTGAAAAATACTTTATAAAAATTGCACCACATGAATTTTCAAGAAAAATTCTACATTAGAGATTGATGAAATAAAAATTATTGTAAACGATACTCAAAATAAATATTAGACTATAATTTCTTAAAATAAAATGTTTACGTTAGATATATATACCCTTTAAATTTAGTTAGTTGGTTGGGTTTCATTTTTAAAAATTAATATTTTACATAACTAATGTTTAATGCATTTTTATTTAAACAAGTATTTTTTTAAAATAACAAAATAAACAGAGATGACATAGGTTGTTCTGATTTTACTTGTTTCTCCTTGTTATTCTTTTTGTTTCTTTTTTTTATGTTATAAGTTCTGTCTTCGTTTTTACAAGACTATATATATAATATTTTTTATTTTCCTTCTGATTAGCATAGCATGGGGCGTATCGACTAAGTATATACATGTTTTTAAATAGTCTTTTTAACTACGTACTAACTAATACTCCGCCTAGTTAAAAAGATAACCAAATTGTTAATTACTGGTATCTGCACGGCAGGGTTCCAATTTGCGTTCATTTCATTTTTCTACAACTTTAATCAGGTAAACTACGTAATTATTATTAAAAAGATGAGAATTATTACCAATACAGTTCTCATTTTTGATCTTTGAAGGATGCGTATACAAAAAATTCGTTGCCTTTAATTAAGACGAGAATTTACATAAATATCAACCTACTCAACACTGAATTTTAAAACGAAATTTTGGTTTATTTAAAGTTCTATTTGATTAAAAAAAAAAAACTGAAACCGCATCGGTTTAATTTTAGGTTGTCTCTCTTTCTTGTTTTTTTGTTTCATTTTATTATTATTGTCTGTTTTACATATTTCTATATATGAATTAGATTATATGTTTCTTTAGTTTTAACACACTAGACGAGCGTGGCGTTTTAATCCCCTTATAGGCGTCTGGTTACTATGTTTACCACTTATCGCCTAGGTTGGCCCTAAACGACAGTCTGGTTCTCTGAGCAACCTCTAGTAGGTTTAAGTGTTTTGTTCTAACGGATTAGGCAGCAGCCAACAAATCATAAAAAAGTGTTAGTTACTGTTGAAGGTAAAACAAATCTATTTCAAGCCCCAGGGTTTTAACCCTTTTTTGCAAAAGCGTTAATTTTAAAATTTGTCAGGCGATATACTTAAGGATAACTATTGTCGTTTTGCGCAGGAATTTCTTGACTCATATTGAGTGGACATCCCTCCATAGCTTACTCAACGCATCATCTTCTGTGGTAAAACCTTATATAAGGCAAAAAAAAGTCACTTTATTTAGACTAATGCTTCGTATTTGTACGCAACAATACATTTCACGACGATCTGGTTGTCACGCAACTCTAAGATTACAATTGTCCACAGAAGATTTTATACGAGTCTTAGAAAGACAGGCTAATGGCGGAAAGATTTATAATGATAAATACTTCGTAAAAAATATTAAGTAAGGTTAAGCGCTTTACGCTCGAAAGCGATGTGCTATTGTCATTAACAGAAATTAAACTCTTTTTGATTGTAAACATCTGTTCTGCAGAACTTTTGCTTGCTTGGAATGTAAAATATTTGTATAGCTAATACCCCTTTTCATGGTTTAATGCAATTCTTCGAGTTTGTTTGAGTGAGATCTCGATGACTATAAAGTAAACAACACTTTCTTTTGACCACTTATAAAAAAATTTAGTCTACTTTACTCGCAGCGAAAGGCATTCTAACTTCTTGCTCGGAACAATCTCGTTTCGTTTAAATCTTTTGGAGATTTCCGCAAATTAACTTCGAGATACAACCTACGTATTTAACTCTGGCAGCTCGTTCTTCTGTTTTTTTTTAAACTTCCATTATTAAAACCTAAACTTTCACTGTTATATACCTTCAAGCTCTGTACTTAAATTTGATAAAATAATCTAAACGTTTGTAGTGGTCCTAAGTATATTTTATACAAGAATTGATAACTTTTTCAACCAATTACATCTTGTGCAACCAAAAAATTATAGCGTTAAAAAATTTCAGATAATGTTTAACGAAGATCCGTCTTTAAGCAAGAAGCTTTAGTGCTCTTCCAACTCGAACAGGAAGCAAACCTTTTACTTTTTAATTTTTTCTGATTAATAAGCTGATAAGCAAAATTCTCTAATAGTTTGCCTTACTAATTCCTTTTAAAAAATAATTTTTTAAAAAAGTGATCTCGAATACTGTTTACTAACCTATAATACTAAGAGAGCTTTTTTTTAACTCTTCTTTATTATAATACGAAAGCTAGAATCACTAAAACCAATATTGTTAAATTTTTAAAACGTTGATAACTAAAAAGTTTTGACAAAATCTTAACTTGGAAATTTTAATTACTTTTACAAGAAGTTAATTCAAAATTTCTTTTATAATAAAAGCGACCATAAGGTTATTTATTTATTTGTAAAGATACAATTATTTAATTAAATCTTTTTTGTATGGCTATATTTAAATCATCTGCTTAATGATATGCCAAGCAAGAAGCAATCAACTTTATTTCCTTCCGATAAATAATTATAGTACGCAAGAATAAGATTCTAAAAAAAATTTAGTTTTCGAAAGAACTAAAAAATAGTATAAATTGAACTTAAATAACAAAATGTATATATTAAGTAGTAAACTTGCTTTCATTTAATCTCTTTTTCGTTGGAAACTTAATAAATTTAATTTGTATAATTCATTTTATATAAATCATAATGTTTTAGTAAAAAGATACAATTTGATTATTAGTTACTATTAAAAAAACTTTCAGCCAACTAATTTCAAGTTATAGATTAATTATTATTAATTTTAAATAATTTTTTATATTTCAATTTTTTTTATATTGAATTTGTTAATAAATTTTTTTGTATAAGTTTTCTCTCATTTTTAAAGAAATTAAAAGCTTTCATTGTTTTAAATAATTTTTATTGATGATTAAATTATTAAAAATTTAATTTTAATAAACTTTTTTAGTTTCAAGCTTTCTTTAGGAATAATTTATAATCTTTAAAGGGATTAATAATTTTTATAGTTTGAAAATATTTAGAGACAATTAATTTTTGTTATAAATTCTTTGTATCAACTTTTCTTGTTAATAAATTCTGTGTATACTTTTCGCCTACTTCAAAAAACGTGATTTTTTTTAAAAAAAAATACAATTACTTTTATTATTTGTTTGTATAAATGTGTATTACTTTATTACGAAAGATGCTTCTTTTTTACTTAAGAATTTGCCTACATTCTCAAAGGACCCGTCCGTTTCAAGACAACTTTAATCTCCTGCTCCTGTCTTTCTGCAAGTCGTCTTAATTCAAGCAAACTTATAATCTTTGATAAAAATAAAAATTTACTTCGCATCGACAATAATGAATATTGTACTACAATTTTAATTTTTTTAAAAAATTTAATGCCGAGTTGATGGTGAACTTAATATATTTATAATTCATAAAGAAAAATTAAAAAACCTCCTTTTTCAAACTCTCGAGTTCGCTAGCAACGGCCTCCGAAGGCATAAACCGCAGGGGATCCACCTCTAATTCAGCGTAGATGTCGGTCGTAGACTTCACGTGTCGACTCGGGACGGCTAGCAACCGCGCGAATAGCAGAGCGCTGGACAAGTAGATGCCCGGCCCTTTACCTTTCACGCTCGGTCCTGCGCGAGCAAAATGCTTAGCGCTTTTTAAAATAACATCGTCGTGTACAATTATTGTGTTTTCTGGAGTTTCAGTAACTGCAGCCACTTTTTTTAGGATCGATTTTTATAAATCACTTGAATTAAATTTAATTAAATATAAAGTTAATACCTTTAATTTCTTTTTTCCGTTTAGCCTCCTTTGCTGAGGCTGTTTTACGATCCAAAAGGATCTTCATAAGTTCATCGTGAACCCATTTTTCTTCTTCTACTTCTTCAGTAGTTCTGGACATTAACAAGCTCAGCTATTTAGAATAAGAAATTAAAAGAATGTAAATAATCTAGCAAAAAGGCAAAAACCTGCCGTTTGCGTGCTAATTCGTGAGCGGCATCGAAAGGAACCAAATGAAGAGCCTCTTCGATGTTCTGATCGTTTTCCTTGGCGTTCAAAATGGTACAAATGCGGTAGTAATGTTCCTTATAATTTTACAAAATTTAATAAATACCACATAATTAAATTTTATAGATGAATAAAAATTAGATTCAGTGTGAATTTAGTAATAAATGTTATTATAAAAGTATATAACTAAAAGTTCATTAGAAGTATTAGTTAACTTAAAAAATTAAAATAATTATATTAGTTGAAAATAAAATAAACTTAATTATAATAAGTATAAATTTATAAGAAAAAAAATTCTTTAATCAATTTTTTAAAAAATTAACTAAATTCAAATTCAAAATGGAAATAAGTAAAAGTTGCATTAAAAGTAAAAAAAGTAAAAATTTTGAAAATTAAATCAAAAGAACCTTCATTTCATCTAAAAGCTTAGCATTTTGTCCAGGCAACTGAACAAAGCGATCATGAATTACTTGAAAACGGCAATCGTAGACACGACAAAGTTCTAATAATTGAAATGTTTCATCTTTTGTCCAAGTAGGACAGTTTGGTGCAATAACTTCATCATATTCCTTTTCCGTTAATGTGGGAATATTGTTAATCTTGAAAAAACAAAGTATAATTAAAATTAAGGAAAATTATAAATAGTAAATAAAAATTTTTTATTGTTTTTTATAATTAAAAAAATATATAAATATATAATTATAAAATATTAACTATTAACCTTCACGTTAAGAGCAGCAAACGGGTATTCTCTATCCTTTTGATCCTCGCGTATCCAGTGGAAAAATTTAGCATCGTCGTTTCTAGCAGGATTATTAAAAGAAGACCACAACCATTCTAAATTTTTTTTTAAAAAAAAGTTACATTATAATATACTTTTTTATAAAGAAAAAAAACTTAGAGCTGGTCTTTTGTCATTAACATTCAAAGGGCGAAACTCTGCTAGCGGAGGTTTCTCGATGAATAAATTTCCTTCGTTTTCAAAAGGAGTTGAAAAAACAGGGCCAGAAGTTTCTAACCTCTTACTATCTTATAAAAAGAAAGTTCTAAGTTTTTTTTTAAATTAGAAAACTTTTAATTCTATTATAAACGCACTTTTATTAACGTTGAAGGCAGTGTTTGAGAAAACGGAACATAAATTGGTGTTCATTAGGCCTTTCTATATTAAGATGAAGGTAAAAAGTAGTTTTTCAAAGAAAAAATGGAAGTTAAGGTAATGACAATATAAACCTGCTTATAAAGATCATCAAGAAAAGGTTTTCAGCAATAATGTTGAATAAAATACTAATAAAATCACAAGAGCTTCCCTGAGTATAAGGAACGAAGCTTTATAGCGCTAACACGGTTGAGGAGAACTCCAAACTGCTTTAAATTTATAGATGGAAAACTTTACGATCTTATATCCTAAAAAAATGCAACAATATTTTTGATAAAAACTCTAAAAACGTGCACACACTTTTCTAAATAAACCAGATGATTTCCAAAGCCAAGCACAAAACCAAGCGGTAAATAAAAAAATTAGCTTAACAAAGCAAAAAAACTACTGATATTTATCGGCTACAAGCCTTCAAGAAAGTGTAGGTATCTATACATTATAAGCGTGTAAAATCTTTTAAAAGTTTTTATTTATGAGATCAAATAATTTAATGGGCTTCAATGTTTTAATTGTGAAATAAGTAAAAGTTAAACTGTAGGCAATAGCAATCTTGTAGCTATATAAAATTTAAAAATTGTTTTTTTAAAAAAAATACAAGAGCTTAGTTTTTCTGCTTAAGTGGATTGACAGAGGCACGAGTACTAAGAAGAATTGATGGACTTTGCGCAGGTAAGTAGTGATGGAATCCTGAAGTAGACTTAAATAAAAGGGCGTAGTTTATAAGGGGCGACCAACAAGAAAAGGCATGGGTCAAGGTTTTGTAAGTATTTTAAAAAAATAGTGTAGAGCACGTAAAGAATGATAGTAACTTTTGTTTTAAAAACCGATGCAAGGGAGGGACACTCTTCTGAAACCACGAAGATAATATGCATTATAAAGCTTTTATAAGATCCCAACGTATTGATGCACATACGAATTATAGTGCTACTGACAAAGGGCCTTTGCTATGTGTCAGGGCACTAATAAAACTGATGGAGATTTTAAAACAGACAAGCAAAGCTAACAATTGTAGAAACAGATCATTAAAGTCTATTGAGTATTTTTCGTAATGAACATGACGCCTTGACGGATAAATAGAATAATACAAGCTATGAGCAATGTTGGTTATTGAAGTACATTTTGGAGGAAAAGTAACATAATAGAAGCTTTGGTTTCACGTTTGGGAGAACATATTTGCCGTTGCTTTAAGTTATCTTAAGTGGAACAATCAAAGCAACTGCGTAGAATTTATGAAAATGGTTCCATATTGGAAAGACGAAACTGGAACAGATGCTAGCAGATTAAAAACTAAAGGATTACATAGATAAAGTGGCAACCTTGTGTAGAATAAACTTATGAATAACCCTAAAAGATCTTTTGAGGCTCAGTAGCCGATATATTGTACTGCCTATAACAATGGAAGGATAGGGTAGTAGGCAAATACAGTTGTGGTGTTTGGGCACAAGCTTTAAAACTGTTATAACACAGTCAATTTACTAAATGTTTACTTTGTATTTATAAATTTGCAGGTACGCAAGCAAGTTTCTTTTGAGAGACATTCAATTTGCAGCAGTAGAGAAGCGACGGGGAAAAAAAGAAGGGGGGATCTATTTATTATCTCGTAGAAGAAGGGTATTTAAACTTTCAGGAGAAGAAATACAAAATGTGAAATGTGGGCAGACGCAGGAACACGTGCTAAGTCACGTGTCAAATTCACCGGAGTACCTAATTAGACAGACACGTGGTATGAGCACGTAGTTACCAGGGTAAACTCAACCAGGTGTACCAATTCTTTAACGAATATGAAGTAAAAGAACAGTTTAATATTACAATTCACCATCACGATGAATTAGTCAGTGAACTCCTCAAAAACTCAAAAAAAATTGAAAATAAATTCAAATATTCCCTTCCCTCTCGCCTTAAGGGACTCATCTATCAGCGTAGACGAGTAAAAAAGTATTTTTAGAGACAAGGTCATGTGACAAGTTAGCCTTTAATAAAATATGTAATGCCATTAAACACGAACCAAACGCTTTTTATACCTCAGGGATATGGAACTACGATCTTTAAATTAATCCTATAATTCTATATGAACAATGACAAAATCTTTAAAAAAAAAAAATGACTGAGGTACCACTTTCTAATAATATAAGAGATATCGTTTATATTCATTAAGGAGGGTCATACCCTTAGTGCGAACCCTCCACTATATCTTTAGTAATACAATTAAATTATTTCGTGATACTTTGTGCATAACCGAATACTATCTTTCGCAAAGATACACTACCTATTGAATCACAAATGTTTACGAGTGAAAAGGAGGTTCAAACCCAAATTGAATAAATTAATACTTAAAAAATAGGGGGCCTAATTGTATATCATATTGGAATGCTAAAATTTTTTTCTCGAGGGGCTTTGGAAACAATCAGAAGTTATTCTTATACTTAAAAGTAGTCATAATAGCAGCTATGCTAAAGACTATCGACCGCCGATTAGTTTACTTTCCTGGATTGGCAAAACTGCCTCTTCAGATTACAAAAATTCGCAAACTACTTATCTTCTCTTCCCTCCCCACTCCCCCCTCACCAACCACCAATTTGGTTTCAATGGACATTCTACAAAACAATTTTAAGAACCGTAGAGAACAATATAAAAGCTTGTAATTAAAAAAATTAACAGTTAGGTATTCTTAGATATTAAAAAAGCTTTTGATAGAGTCTGGCATGAAGGACTTATTTATTAAATATTAATTATATACGTTACCAAGATAACTTTTCGGGTGTTGTATTCATTTCTTTGCAGTAGATCATTTGCTGTACGAATGAGAGAAGACTCGTCCGTCCTCAGGGCTCTCCACTTTTACCTTTATCTCCCTATATACATGCGACATTGCTTCTTTTACCCACAAGGTTTCCCTACCATATATTTTAGTTCAAAAGCTATTAGATATGTGCAAGTCTATCTTTACACACTTGAAAAATGGTTTGCAACGTGGGAAATTTCGATAAACCCTACCAAGAAAAATTAAAGCCCTTGCGCTTTCGCAAACATTTAAATCCTAGGTGCAGTCGAGTTAAATACCTTGGCATTATTATTGACTTTTAGACTTAACTGAAAGCCTCATACTAATAATCTTTTTGAAAGAAATAAATATATAACTTTTGCTTTGTATCCTCTTATATGCTAAAGAAGCCACTTGAGTTTTGAAAAATAAAATTCTCATCTGACCTGTTATTAGTTAAGCATCTGTCTCAGGGTTTTACTGCTCAACTTTGCTTATAAACAGACCTTAAAATGTTTACAGGCGCATCTTGAATTGTGCGAAATTCCCAGTTACTCCTGACTGTGAAATTAAAACTTTTTTTGCTTTACCCTAAACGAAGGCTATAAAATGTTTTACTCGATTTGACAATTTAATAACTGACGGCTTGGACTACCCCCCTTTTAAAATATAAACGACCTAAACAAAAGAGAAAAAATTGTTAATGCTTTAATTAGCGTAAAACTTATAGTTATCGCTTTTAGGTGAAAACTCAAGAACTTTTGCTTTAAAGATACCACACGTCCTGGCTGGTGTTGCTTACTGAGAACTCCAGCACTCAAAAAAGCTAATAAGATTTTACTATATACTTGCAAATATTGTTATACACAAAATTAAAGGCAACGAATAAAGGCGGAAACAAGAGAAAAGAATAAAAGCAAAGGGAGAGAGCTAATTCATTGGTCTACCTTCCCTAAATATTTTTATATGAATGTGAGACGTGTTCTTAAAAAACTAAAATCATTGTTATGCTTTATAATATTATTAAGGGCCCACAAACTATATTTTAAAATTTAAAATGAAACTTTTCAATTTCAAGGTAGGTTGCTGATCTGAATACTGACTACATTCAAGTATACTAAAGTACCGTCCGGCTATGAACTTGTTTTTTTTTCAGATTCCCCAGTATAAAGACCTGTTTAATTATTATAAGTCATGGTTTACGCCAAGCAAGTTCTTAGGTGGAGTGCCTTTTAAATTTTTCAAAGAACAAAAAATTTAGCTTTCATGGTCGATAAGGAGGTGCCTTTTGGTATAAGTAACTTTTTTTACTAAGCAAAAGTTTAAGGCTGAAATCTTAATTACCTTGCAAAAGAAATAGTCTACTACGGCAATTTAATAAAATTTGGTTTACACTAAGCATATAACTTTTCAAGCCGATGCCACTTTGTCTTCCTCCATAATAGCTTTTCTCTGAAAGTCCTCATAAGAAGGTAAAGAACAAACCTGAAAATTTATTAGATAACTTAGCATTAAATATAAATTTATTAAAACTTGCCGACTTATATTTGGAAATTGGGTAATCGATAACTTATAAAGATTATAATTATTCCATTATTTGTTATAAAAAAAAGTTCATGCCATAAAGCTTACAATGAGTTGTAGCTCAGGATACTAAGATTACCGTGAATTCTTTTAAGTAATAAACCCATAACGCAATACTGATTTCTTTCTTCTAATATCTTTGTATTTTAAGTCAATAATTTTATATAAATTTATGTATAAGGGAGAAAGACAGGTAAACAAAGTAAGTTTACTGTAGTATATGTTGGTTAAGTAATAAAGAAGTAAAAGCGCTACTATTTCTTACGTTTGCTCTACAACAAACCGCTAAAGCCTAAAAAACTTTTTTCAATCTTTTTTTTTTAAGAGTATTTATCAATAGTCCTTTAGCTTCCTAAAAGTTGCTCGCCTCGACAATTTTTTAAAAATAGCAACAGGAACTAATTCTTAAAAATAAATATACTGAAATTTATTGTTTCCTACTCGTTTTATTCGTTTACATAAAAAAATAAAACATTACTTGATCGTATCTTTTTTATCTAATTTCTTGTGGATTTTAGAGTAATTTTAAAAACCATTTTTATCAAATAAATTCTTAAATTATTTTTAAGTTGAAGTATTGAAGTATAAGTAATTCTATTGCATAAATTAGTGATTGCAATTTTAATAAGAATAGTAAAAATTAGCTTACTTTTTCAAATAAGTGAACAAAGTTTGGATTTTTTACTGTAGCTCAAAGGTTTTTAAATAGTTTTAAAACTAGCTTACCTACTTAACTAATTTAATTTTTAATATTTTATCTTAAGTAGAAGCAAACCATCATTACAAAAAAAAAATTAAAATTACAGTTTTGTAGCTCAAAAGCTTAAAAGTTTTTACTCTTTTTTAAAATTTTTGACACGATTGAAAACGAGGCAAATTTTAAAAGTAAGCGTGAGGGTGCGCGTGTATAGCATTCCTTCTCATAAAGCAGACTTGAACGAAGGCTCTCAGCCCTGAAGACATCACTAACCTAATGTTTAAACAGTTGCCAGAGGATGCTATCAACTTGGTGTTGACCTCCCCCTGTTTTCCCGGGCGATGGAAAATGGCGGTAGTCGTGATGTTACCAAAATCATCACAGCAGGGCAAAGTTTCACAATTAAAAACCCATCGGCCTTTTGTCGCAAATTGGTGAGACAGCTGAAGCAGTAATACTCGTTTCAAGGCGATTGTAGACGCTGGTGGAATTTTAACAGAGTTTCAGTTTGGAATGCGCAAGGGAGGCTCAACGACACAACAAATTCCAAGTCTCACTGAGTAAACGACCAGTCTTTAATTTTAAAAAAGCCAACTGGCGCTGTCTTTCTCGATGTTGAGAAGCTTTTTGACCGATTATGGCATGGTGGACTGTTAAGCGAACTAGATGCTTTGGTGATATCGCGCGGTCTTCGAGAAGTTCTTAAGTCGTACCTAAACGGCCACGTATTCAACGTGCAATTTCTATTATCGTACTATTAGTGCTCTAAAGAGCGACATCCCACCTCCAGTCCCACCTTCTCATGCGGGTCAAAGTCATCCATTTTACTATTTCAGCACTTACCATTTTATATCGACGCGCTTGATAGCTGCTGTCGTCAACGGTCCTATTCATTAACGCAGCAAAAAGAAAAGCATGGCACTTCTTATAACGAAGAAACGCCATGCGCTGCCGCTCCGTTAATTTTTAACAGCATAAAAATTACTTGGTTTCTCAGGTAAAACACCTGGAGGTTATAATAGATTCTAAGCTGTTGTGGCGTCCACACGTAAATTACATGGCGGGAAGGTCAAGGCAGAGACTCAAATGCCATATACTTTATGGTGCAGCATAAGTAAACTTCCATTTGCGCCATAAGCGAAGACTTTTTGTGTTGTGCATTCGGTCGATAGTAACATATGCCTCTCCTGTCTGAACCTACGACTTATCGGCAATAACGTCCTCGTTTCATCTGCGACAAAACAAAATTGCTGCGTCTTTTAACAAGCGCGCAGTGGTTTGCGTGCAATGATGCACTTCACCACGAACTACGGTTTGAGCTGCAGGCTAATTCTTTAAAAATGAAGCCGTTCGCCCTCTACGAACGTATAGCTGTACACACTAATCTCTTATTAGCTGAAGAAACACACTTACAAGTTGTGAGAGGACGCACAATACTGCCGCCGCACTACTTGTTTTAGCATAATGGCCGAAAACTGAGTTGGGCTTTGAAACGATCGTGAAGGGCACAGGTGAAGATAAATTTCTTTGCTCTCACGGAGAAGGGCTAAAAGCCTGTCTAAGAGCTCGTGATTTTGCGGTTGTTAACCCGATCGAGCACCAGGGAACGCCCTTTATAAATAAACAAATTAGAGCAAAACTGCACTAACTCTACAAGGGAATAAAAATATTTTAAAGATTATTTTACAATGTCTTTAGCAGATGAATTAGTGGCAGACTTTGAAGAGCTTTGTGAAGAGGACGAAGAGATTAACAACACTGTTGAAGGCGATGAGTGGGGCCTGGAAGGTTTCGCTTTAGAAGGAAGCGGCCTTGAAGGGAGCGAACGTGCTTGTATATTGTTTTTAGATTTATATTCTTCATTACTATAATAAAAAAACTAAATTTTTTTTATTAAAAGATGATTTAAACAGCAGTCCTCGAGTCATTGCAAAGCTTTTAGAGAGTAAAAATTTAAACGACATTTTAAACAGTATTAGGTTTATAATTCTCGTTTTTTACTAATTTATTTTGTATAAATTATCTTTTTATTTTAAAGTCATGCCATTCCAACGCAGAGGATTCCTTCCGTTACAGGAGTTATTGAAGAAGATCCAGAGTACCAGTTAATAGTAAAAGCAAGTGCTATTACTGTGGAGGTTTTTATATATTATTATTAGCGTTTAAAGAATTTATTTAAGCAGAACAGTAATAATTTAACGTTTTTTAATGAGATCGCCAACGAAGTCAATACACTTCATAAATATATCCGCGATCTTTACACTGAAAGATTTTCAGAACTTGAGAAAATTGTTCTTGAACCAATGGCGTATATACGGTCCATGGATTTTTTTTGTGATTTATTTTGATTATACTCTAATTTATTTAATAATACAAGGATATTTTCGAAGTAAATTCATAATGTTTTATGTATAAATTATTTAGATATTTATTAAAAAGTCTACTTTTTTACAAACTAACCATAAATTATTAATTGTAAAAAATAAATATTCCTGAAATTAAATTTAATTGTTTATTTTAAATTAGATTTAAAACAGTAATAAATAAAATTTAACTTATTTTATAAACATTATAAATTTCCTTTTTTTATTATGTATTAAAGAAATATAAGTAATAAAAAATTTTACTAACCTTAAATATAATGTTTTTCTTGAAAATTAATTTTTTTATAATTTTAACTAAAAATTTTTTAAATTAATTAAATAATACATAAATAAGTTATTAATTTCAATTTAAATAAAATTTTTATACCAATTATTTAGATTAATAACAGTATTAAATAAGATTTAACTTATTTATGAACTAAATTTAAAATTAATAATAATAATTTTGTTTTATATACATAATAAATGAATATAATTTTTTTAAAATTAAATTAAATAAATTCGTAGAAAAAGTAATTAAGTTCAAAGCAGTTTTTAATATTAATTAATATTTTATAAAGTAATGATAAATTTATTTAAACAACTTTTCAATTAATAAATCTATATTATTAACTTAATATAAGTTATTATATACTTATATAAAATGAAGTTTATATAAATTTTTTTAAACATTATAAAAATATTAAATAAAAATTAACTTATTTTGGCAAACTGATTATTAATATTATAAGAACCTTTTTTTTCTAGATGTTTTGTTAAAAAATATTTAGAAACATATATTCATTTTTAGAATTTATAAATTTATATTTTAATATATGTACTATAATAAAAAAAATATTGTCAAAATTATCTTAATTAAAAATATGTATAAAATAATCAGATTTTAACGAATTTTAATAAAAATTTTCGTTTTTACAATATTTATTAAAAATTTAATTATAAAATTTTTTTCTACATTTATTATAATTAAATTTAAGTTATAATAAATATTATTATAATTAAGTTATATAAAATTAATTTGAAGATTTATTAATGATATAATGTAATTAACTTCTAATAATTATTATAATAAATTAAAGTTGTTATAATGCAAATTGTTAAAGTTAATTAAAAAAAGTTATAAAAATATATATAAAATAAATATTATTTTTTTTACATTCTAATTACAAACTAATCAGAAATTTTTTTATATATTATAATAAAACTCAATTTTTAAAATTTAATTAAATTAAGTAAAATTTATATAATCCTTAAAATTTACCTTTTTTACAAACTAATTATGATTTTATTAGAACCTTTTTATTTTTTTTTAAAATCAGTTTATAACTTTGGAAACGATTTACAAACTAATTAAAAAATTAATCAAAATTTTTTATTTTTTTTTTTCAAACTAATTATGAAATTAATCAAATATAAGTAATAGTAAATAATTTTTTTAACATGCTAATTATAACATTAATTAAAAAACCTTTTTTCTTTGTATATTATAATTAAATTGAAGTTATAATAAATAATTTTTTTTTACACTCTAATTATAATATTAATTTAATTATTTTTTATTTTCCTTTTCCAAAATAGTTCAGTTTATAATATTGGAAACGATCTGGACATTAACAAAGCCGACTTGAATGAGATTCTTCCAGCACACATAATAATGATTGTCTCCGTGAGCGCTACTACATCTCAAGGAAATTATAAAATTCAAGAGCATTTTAATTTATTTTTATTATTTTTTTTTTTGAGCAGGCCAGAATTTAGATGACTATAAACTTGCCAATATCCGGGAGGCTTGCGAAATGGCATTTGCCTTGGAAGATGCTGTTAAAATGATTACGGAAGTAAAAAATAATTAATCAATAAATTATATATTTTTATTTTTATTTTTAATGTGTTTATTTTTTAATTATTAAATATATAATTTTTTGAATTAATAATTTATTTTAAATTTATTTTTCTGGTTTTAATTTTAATATTTGTGAATCATTTATTGAACTATTAATCTTAAATGAGTGTTGGATATTTTTTGTTTATTGTTTTATTTACTTTTAACTTTCATGAAATTTTACTTGAATAATTTTCAAGGACCAATTTTTTTTTTAAATTGTTTGAATATAATATTTTCTTTATAAATTTTTAATTTTTTTATTTATTTTATTCAATTTTTAACTTTTCTATATTTTTACTTTGAATAATTTTTGAAACAAAATTATATTAGGAATTTTTTTTTCCTTTTTTTAAATTTTGTTTATAGAACTATTTTTGTTTTTTTAAATTATATTATACTTTGTTTTTATAATTTTTACTTTTAAAATTTTTTACTCAAAATATAATTATTAAAACAATATTTGATTCTATTTTTTTTAATTTTTTAAAAGTTATTGAATTACAAAATTTTAATTAATGTCTAATTTTTACTTTATACTTGAATTTTTTTATTTAATTTTAACTTTTATTTTTTATTACTTCAATTACATTATAAACAAAATTTGATTATAATTTTTTTTTAATTTTTTTTGAAAACCATTTATTGTATTTAATTCAATTGAATTTTTAGTATATATTTTTTATTGTTTTATAAAATTTTTACTTCTATAAATTTTTTTAATTAAATATTAACTTTTTAAACAATATTTTAGATTTTTTATTTTATTTAATTTTAACTTTTATTTATTTTTTACTTGAATAATATTTGAAACTAAAATTTAATTATAAATTTTTATTTCATTATATTTGTGTATTATTTAAACTATAAATTTCAAATGAATATTCATATTACTTATACTTTATTATTTGTCTTGTAATCTTTTTTATAAAATTTTCACTTTAATTATAATTATTTAAAACAAATTTTTCGTTCTCAAAAGTTATTTATTAATTTTTTAAAGTGAAAATTTTTAATTCAGTATTTTTTTAAAATTTCTTTTTCTTTTTTTTAATTTTAACTATTATCAAATTTAATTGTTTTTTAAATTTAAATTTTTAAACAAGATTTAAATATATATACTATTTTTTATTTTTAAGTCGGTATTTGTTTTTATATTTATTTTTTTATTAACTTTTATAAGTCATTACTAATTATAATTTTTAATAAAAAAATTATTATAAAATTTTAATATTTACTTTTTTTATGGGTTATTTATTTATTTATAATTTCGGAATCAAGTTTTTAGAAAATAATTATACCGCTTATATTATTAATATTATTAACATTTGTTAACGTATTTTTAAAAAAATAAATTTTATATCAAATATTCTTAATTAATTTATATATAATTAGTTTGTTGAATCGCGAATGGCGTTTATTGCACCAAATTTGTCTGCGATTTGCGGCCCTTCCACAGCCGCAAAACTTATGGGCCAAGCAGGTAATTTCTTATACTTAAATTAGTATTAATTTTTTTTTTATTTAATTTTATCTTTAATTGTATAAATTCTTTTTTTTTATATATATTTTTTAATTATAATTTTTATTTAAAACTAATTATTTATTATTACTTAATTTTATATTTTGGTTTTACTTTTTAATTAATAATTATTAAAATTAATTTAGTTTTTTTATATAAATTTTAATTTCAGATTTTATTTTATTTTATTATATATTATTTATTCATAATATATGTTTGTTTTTATTTTATTTTTAATTATTGATTTTATTAAAATTTAGTAATATTATATTTAATTTTATTTTTTATGTATTTTAAATAATTTATGATTTTATTTATTAATAAGTATTTAGAATATTTTTAGTATATTTAATTGTTATTATTAAAATTAATATTTAATTTTTATTTTTTCTTATTATATTATTTTAATTTTGCTTATATTTAATATTATAATTATTTTTTTTTTCTTTATTTAAAAATATATTATTATTATTATTCAAATATAATTTATTTTTAGCTTGATATAAAAATATGCTTTACTAGTTTTTCTATAGACTCTTGTTGCTCAGCACGTGAGTCTTTTTAATTTTATATTTAATTTTTTGATATTATTAAATTACATATATTTTTAATTATACATATTAAATTAAATTAATATTAATATACTTTTGAAAATACTATTTATTTTTATTTATAGGTTTTTATATAAATTTATTATTAATTATCATTTTTATTTATAAATAAAATATATTAAATTAATTTTTTTATAATTATTATTATGTATAGTTTTATTTTAATTTTACTTTTTAATAACTGCTTGATTTTATTTTAGTGTTATTTTAATATGATTATTATTAATTAAGTTAATTTAATTTTTTATATTAATTACGATTTTTTTTTAATTTTTTATTTTACTTTCTTATAATGTTTATTTTATTTATATTTTTACTTGAATTTAATTATTATTACTGCACTATTTATTTTTAATTTTAAATATAATTATAATTTATTAATTAACTTTATTTTTATATATATAATAGAAAAATAAGATTAAAAATAATATTTAACAATGTTATAAGAATATATTTATTTACTATTTTCATTTTTTATTAAAATATTTACTTTTTAAATTATCAAAATAACTACTTTTTATTATTATTATATTATAATAAATTAATATTAAAAAGTATAAAAGTTTATCAAATATTAATAAAGTAATAATCGTTAAACTAATTTAGGAATATTTATTAAAAATCGCTCGAAGAAAATAATATAAAAAATATTATTCAGCAGTGTTATAAGAATTTATTAATTTGTATTTTTTTTTAATAAATTTTTTACTAAAATTAGAATTTTTTAATAATTAAAAAAAATAATATAAAAAAGTATGAAAGTTTATAAAAAATAATAAAGTAATAATTATAACATTTTATAAATATTTGTTACATATTTTCTTTACTTAAAATTAATATAATTATATTAAACAATATTATATGAATTTACTATTTAGTAATTTTTTTAAGGGGGGATCGCCGCGCTGGCCAAGATGCCTGCTTGCAATCTTCTTGTGCTTGGAGCTCAAAAAAAAGCGCTGACGGGTTTTTCAAATATAACAAGCTTGCCTCATTGTGGATTCATATACTTTTCTGGTAAAAAAAAGTTTTTTTCTAACTTTTGATTTATAATTTTTTTAATTTTTTTTTGGGATTTATATACAATTTCTTGTTAATTTTGGGTTATAATATTTTTATTAAATAAAAATAAATATAAGACTATAATTCTTCCTATAAGATATTTTTTAAAAGAATATGAAAAAGAAAGTTAGGTTGAAAGTAATTTACTTTGGCTAATAAAAATGCCAAGTTATAAATAATCTTGTTGGACACGTGTCAGTCTCTGTCGTTTAGTGCTTATTATTCATTGGGTAATATATATATGAAATAGTCTTTTTGAAAGGCCAGTGCCTTTATTATAAATGCAAACGTGGTTTAGATTGGTCAAATTTATTCGATTTACTATAAATGGGAACCATCTCGAGGCTTTATTAGTGGAGCTTTAATAGAGTTCTCGAGGTTTTTTCTTTATTTTTTGAGTCGAATTTGTTTGTAATTTTTTTTAATGAAACTTTTTTTTATAATTTATAAAAAAAATTATTTGTGGGTTAATTTTTTTTTGCAGGAAAATCTTTAAGTAAACTTCTGACTATTTCCTAAACTATTTTTATTATTATAATATTAACAAAGAAAAGTTTTTTTTATTAAATTATAATTAAAAAAAGTAAGTTGAATACAATTGTAAGCATAGAAAAATTTTGTTTTCTTATAGTGGAATGTTTTCCTTTTTCATTGTAAATATAATAATTTGATAATAATAGTCTAGAAATAAGAAGAAGAAGAATAGTGATAGTACATAATATTAATTATAATAACAGTAATAGTAAATACTACTACTAATGAAAATATTAGTAACAAAAAAATAATATAGTAATTATAATAACCTATTAGAATTGGTGGACCCATTACCCGCTGAATACAAACGAAAAGCGAGTCGATTGGTCGCCAACAAGTGCTCTTTGGCCTCTCGATTGGACGCAGGCCACGAGTATTGCGATGGCTCTGCGGGTCGAGAATTTCGCGCCATTTTGGAAAAGAAAATCGAGAAGATGATGGTTGGGTCTTTTGACAATTTCTTGTTTCATATTTTTCATATATATAAAAATATTTATTAATGGCGCCATTTATTGTATTGTCATTGGTTGTTTATAATGATAACAATTTTTAATGACGACTTCATTTATAATTAAGTTTATAAGTTTTTAAATTGAATAATTTAGTGTTTTATTATTATTATAAATATATCAGTTTTAGTAAACATTCGAACTTTTATGGATTTAAATTATTTTTAAAATTTCAGTTATTTATAGAATTTATTTTATACTTTTAATTTGCTATAATATTTACGCCTCGAATGAATTTTTTTAAAGATTTTTATAATGAAAAATATTTTTATAAATTTTTATTTGTTACAGTTTAATTTTTTTGGTAGTGATGGCGCCATTAATTATTATTATAATCATATTGCTATAATTCATTGGGTGTTTAACACAAAACTTTTACTGCTGGCATCTTTTGTTTATTATTTTATATTTGGTTATTTGACCTCATCATTTATTAAGATGGCATTATTTATAATTATGCTTATTGTGTATTTTGATTAGTCGTTCTAATATATACCAAATTTTTAATAATGGCCGTCATTTATAATTACTATATATCAATCATCGTTGCTATCTTTAAATTACTTTTTAATTTTTGTTTTCAAGGAGCCTCCCCCTGCACGCCTGGAAAAACCGTTGCCCGCGCCGGACGAGGTGGCCAAAAAGCGTCGTGGAGGACGGCGCGTTCGGAAAATGAAAAAGCGAATACTCGCGAACGAAGTCGACAAGGCAATGAACCGTTTGAAGTTCGGAGAAATTCAAGACGATCTTCTCCAAACCAAAATCGGCTACGACGTCGGTATGCTCGGGCGCGGCGGAACTGGAAGGGTTCCCTTATTATTTTTATATAATTTAATTTTTTTTTATTTTTTTTAATGAATTGAATGTTGGAAAATTGTGGGATTACTTTGCATTACATTTTATTATTATTTTTTAATTTTTACCGGCTTTATAAGTAATCAAGATTTACTGCTCTTGCTATTTTTTAATATATTATTATTATAATAATTGAAATTATTATTTAATTTTTCATGACTAGCATTTTTCTTCTTGTGCTTATGAAGTGCGTGCGTTCAGAATTTTTTGTTTTTTGGCTTTTTGTTTACTTTAATTTTAATAAATTTATTTATATGAATTCCTTTTTTTTTTTTGGTTAATTATAAGGGCATTACTTTTGCTTGTCACATATTAATAAAATAAAATTTATAATTTTTTGATTCGGATTTACAATTTTTTTATAATTTTTTATTTACTTTTTTTCCGTGAATTTATATTCTTTGAATTCAATTTTTTTTGTTATCAACTATTAATAAAACTAAATTAATAATTTTTTAGAGGCAATTTTTTATATTTTCTAATTTTTAGATTATTTTTTTTACTCAGCTTTAAATTTATTTTTATAATTCTTTTTAACTTTACTGGTGCTCTTATGAAATATTAAGTAAATCGAAATAAATATTTAGTGGCGGAATTTAATTTTTTTTTTAATTATATATATATAACTTTTTTAAGGCGTTTAATATCTTCACAGAAGTTATAGACATTAATATATTTTTTTGAGTTCTTTTCTTTTTATTTATAAACTTTACTTGTGCCTTTATTTTAATTTAAAATTTTTCATAATTGGTTTTCTAATTTTTTTTTATTATATATCTTTTCCCGTAAATATATATTTTTTTGTAAATTCTTTTGGTTGTTTAATTGTAAAATTTACTGGTTTTATATTAAATATTAATAAAACAATTAATAATTTTTTATTTTTTTTACAAAATTTATCTTAAATTCTCAAATTCCATTTTCTTTGTTCAACTTAATAAATTTTATTAGTAAAGTTTTTATTTTTTTTACTGAAATTTATTAAACTATAATTGTTTGCATATCATTGTTATTAATTAGCCCTAGCAACCTACTGGTGCTTTCTTGAAATTTAAATAAAGCTAAATTTATAATATTTTAGTGGCGGATTTTTATTTTTTTTTTTTAATTTTTTCATTCTATTTTATTTTTTCTAATTCCTTTTTTATTGTTTAACATTAAAAGCTTTATTACTGCTTTCGTAAAATATTAATTAATTTTTTATTGTAACTTTTGGCTTGCGCCTATTATAAATTTTTATAATTTTTTTTTACTAAAATACATATGGCACCAGTTTTAACAACGTAACTGCTTTATTATTATTAATATTTTTTTTACAGTTTAGTTTTTTTACTATTAATTTTCATATAAATTTGCTCCGCAAACTCCACCAATATAGTTTTTTATTTTATTTACTGTTTAGCATTTTTAACATTAATTTCTATTTAACTAAATTCGCTTCGCGTAATTGATTTATTTTAAGTTTTTGATTTTTAATATCAATTTTCAATAAAATTAGATTCCGTTATGAGTCTTAAATACTTTTTTATATATAAAATAAATTCGCACAGCGCTACTGATAATAACTTATCAAGTTTTTTTTGTTTCAAATTTTTATTAAGTTTTGCACAACCCAAATTTTATTTTATTAATAATTTTTTCTTACTTTATTTAAATTTCAACATTATTTTTTATGAATTGATTTGCACAATGCAAATTTTTTTTAATAAAAAAATCTTTAACATCAATTTTTATTTAAATTAGCTTCGCACAAACGCAAATTATTTTAATAAAAAAAATTTTAACATTAGTTTTTATATGAATCAGATTCGTACAGCGCAAATTGATAATAAAGTTCGAACAACCATCACCAAGAGGATGCAAAGGGAACTCGCCAGGCAGAAGGCGCTTGGCGGATTCCAAACGTCGCACTCTGTGAAGTCGTCCATCTCCACTTCGTTAGGAACTTCGTCAAGTGTTGTCTACAGCGCTGATATGGGCCTGGAAATATATAATCCCGCTGCCGCTGAAAAAGTTTTTTTAATTATATTAATAATTATATTAAAATATTATTTCTAACTATAAAAAACAATTTCATTATTCGTTTTTGATATTTATACGTATAATTTAATAATTTTGTACTTTCTCTATTTCTTCTAACCATTCTGTATATGTTTCCTTATTATTTTTTATATTATTTCTATTATTAACTATATTTTAATTTTTTTTTTATATGGTAACTTTTACCATATACTTCTAAATTTTTAACAAAAACTTGAAAAAATTTTTATTCAGAATTTAAATTTTTTATAATTATTGTTTTTTTTAAAACTGTAAATTATATTTTGTTTGGTTTTAAAGTTTTCTTAAAAAAATGCATTTTTTGATTATAATAATAATTTGTTTACTTTTTACTTTTATTAAAAATTTTTATTTTTTATATAACTATTGTAATTTTTTAAAGCTGTAAAGTATTTTTTTTGGAATTATGATAATAATTTCTTTACTTTTCTTTTATTTTATTTACAACTTTTGTTTTTTTTAATTATTGCATTATTTTTAAAATCTCTTCAGTATTTTTTTATGGTTATAAAGCCGTTTTAATAATATATATTTATTTTTAAACTAATATTAATTCAAACTCTCAAAAATTGTGTAGAGTATATTTATTTTGAGAAGAATTTTTTTTAAATAATGCATATATTTGTAGAAAATTTTGATGACTTAATTTAATTTTTTATATTAAAATTTTTAAATATTTATTAAACTCCGAATTTTATTTATATTTAAAATTTTTTTTAATTTTTTATTTTTTGGTTTCTGGAATTTTCTTATTTTTTTTATTTTATTTTGATAATAATTAAACTTTCTATTAGTATAATTTTTAATTAATTATTTTAAAAATTTTCAAATTCTTTTTTTTACTTCAAAAAAAAAGTTTTCATATATAATTCTTAATAAAATATCAACTTTTATAATTGAAGTCTAAATAATTTATTTTTTTTTGTTTTGGAGATTTCTTATTTTTTTATTCTGATAGTAATTAAACTTATTTAAATATAATTTTATAATTAATATCTAAAAATCAATTAGCCCCTTTTTTTACTTTATAATTTTTTCTTTAAATATAATTTTATAGTGAAATATCAATCTATATAATTAATAATTATGAATTATTAATAATATTTTGGATCTTGGAGTTTTCGTTAAACTATTTTTTTAATAAAATGTGTTAATTTATTTTAATTTTGATGATGATTAGTAAATGATAATAATAATATATGATAGTAAAAGTAATAATAATAAATAATAAATAATAATAATATCAATATTAATAGTAATAAACTTTTCTACTATGCTTTAGTTCTCTTTATAATATTCGTTAAAATTAATATTTTCAATTTTATTAAATATTATTGAATTCTTTCCTATTAAAAAAAAATTTTTTTTTTTTAAATATTTTTAAGAAAATTTTAATTCTAATATATTTTTTTTAGTTAATTCTAAAATTAATTTTTCAAAATTGCTTAGATTCTTTTTTACTTTAAAGAATTTTTTCATGATTTTATAATAAAATATTTATTTTTACAATTTAAAAGTTTACTATTAATAATAATTTTTAAATTATATGATTTCTTATAATTTTTTTTGAGTATTTTTTTTTGTAAATTGATTATTAATTAAATAACTTTAAATTTTTTTAATAATTAATTTTTCTACAATTAAATTTATAATTCATTTTAAAAAATTTCTTAAATCTTTGTTTACTTTAAAGAAAGTTTTTGTAAAAAGTAATATTTTATTAAAATATTATTTTTTAGGTTTAATTTTTTTAAAATTATGGATTTTTTTCAACTTGTGAAGTTTTTTATGTTAAACTGATTTATATGAAAACTGAAAATTATAATAATTTGATTTTCTTTTTGTTAATTTTTTACTCAAACTTTTAAATTTGAATAATGGTTTGTGTATAAATTTATAATGAGGTATTACTTTTTTTTTTTTGATAGAGAAGTTTATTGATAAAAAATGTATTATTTTTTTTGGAAGGTTTGATTTTTATAAAATTTTTATTGAAAGCGATAAAGTTTTTGTTAAAAAATTTCTTGTTAACTTGTATAAATCATAAAGTCTTTTTTCCCGTTTTTTTGTCGTCGATTACAAATTATTTTTATAGTAATCAGGTTGTCAATTTAAAATTTTATAAACATTACAATTTTATATTTACCTTTTTTTTTATCTTCGATTACTAATTTGTATGGTTAATGAAAATTGAGCCAATTTAAAGTTTTATAAAAATATTAACTTCTATATGTTATGAGTTTCAAATTTCTTTTTCTCGACGATTTCAACTTTTTTATGGTAATCAAATTAAGTCAATATAAATTTTATTAAAAATTTTTATTTATATTTAAATTTGAGACATTTATAAATAATAAATTTTAGTTGATTACAAATTTTTATAGTATTCAGGATTGAGCCCATTTAATTTTTGTATAGGAATTTTTTTTTTTTAAAAATATTAACTTCTATAAATAAATGAATGTTTATTTTACTAGTTTTTTTTTTTCGACTATTTTAAAATATAATATAAACTGGGCGAAATCTATATTTTTTCCTTTTATATTGAAATATATAAAAAATTTTATAAATTATAATTTCATATTTTAGTTTTTTTTGTCGTTATATACAAATTTTTATAGTAATCAGAATGAGGCCAATTTAAATTTTTTTTTAAAAAAAAATATTTTTATATATAACGAATTTCATTTTTTTACTTCTTTTTTACTCGATTACAAATTTTTTTGTATTCAGGATTTAATCTTTTTAAATTTTTTTCAAAACTATCAACTTTTATAAATATTGAATTTGTTTTTGTTCTTTTTTTTTTTCATTTTATCATCGTTTTATTATTTTTAATTTTATTATACAACTTAATTTTTATTAGGTGACGGAAGTTGAAGGAAAGTATTTTTCCGCTACTTCTAATTTTAAAAAAATTTCGAAAGCTCCCGAATAATTATTAATTTAGTAAATAAATTAAAAATTATAGTTTTAAAATTTTATTTATACTTTTTTAAATAATGTTTGTTATGATTGAAAATTCTTAATTAACTAATTTAATTAAAATTTTGTCACGTTTTATAATCTTTTAACTATTAAAAGAGTTTGTAGAATTTTATTAACATTTTAGTCCAACCTGCACAACCATTTATTTAATATTGAAAATGGGTTACACGTATATTTCCAAAGAAAAAAAATTTCTATATATAAATTTAGCACAACTCATTTTTTAATTGGATCTTCAAAACAAATTCGATACTTTTATTAAAAGAAATAATAATAATTTTAATACATTTAGAATAAAAAGTTATAATAAATTAGTATTTATACTAAAAAAGTTTGAGAAATTTTTATAAAATTTCTAATCTTCTGCCCGTTATCTAAATAAATTGTTTACTTATTAATTTTTATTGCTTATTGGTGATGATTTTTAAAAAAGTCTTTACGTTATGTATTTACTTCGGAACCCGAATTTGACTACATTACAAAATATTAAATAGTTGATATAATTTACTTATTGATTTTTTAAATCGCTTTGTGGATATCGAAAAGACTGAAATAGCGCATAACAACTTGAAATTTACTTCCATATGTTAAAATTAAATTGAAAATAATATTTTCAAACACTTTTCAACGTAGCAAAATTCCTTTTATAGGTGTAATTTACTTTAATTTTAGAACATCCTTTTAAGTTATCGAAGAAAGGGAAAATTCATTTAAAGAGGAAACATTTAGTTTACGAAAAGATATTTATGAAAGTTGCAATAGTAATTGCATATAGCAAACAGAGATCAAGCTAAAGTTTATTAAAGACGTTTTGCAAATTTTAATCCCTACCAAGGTAGACTAACAAAGCTTTTAAAAAAATAAATAAATACCATCCGATTACCCCGGGGTCAGTTATAATATTTACTTTTAAAATTTTTACTTTATACAATTTAAATTTATATCACCGTGGGAAAAGTTTAAGTTTCACTAATTAATATATCCTCCCTAAAACTGGTACTTCTTAGTGTCTTCCCAGTTTTGCTTGCTCTTCGATCTTAGCGCTTATACCTTCGATCCAGATGCTCCGTTGAAATTAACTTGGGAACTGCCTAACTGCGTATTTATATGAACGACATCAACAGGCAATGCCAGTATACACCGCTCAAGCGGCATCCTATCCAAGATCAAGATGTATGGTAGTTAGCCTTTTCACTTACCTACTTTCATACTTTTTTTCGTTCTGCTTTAGAAGAATATTTAAAAAGCTAGCATTTTAAGAGAGTTAGTTTTAAAGTAAAACCTTTCATTAATTCAGGTAATCTTTTAATGTAAGAAACCAGTTTTGGAGAATGGTACTCTGAGTTCAATTCTCAGTTGTATGATTTCATTCCTTGGGTTTAAAGTAATTAGTTTGATGGTAAAACTCTTAGTTGTAGCCGTAGTGTTATAGGTTCCAGTCCCGTAGTGCTTTTAAGCTTTAAAAGGGTTAGCCTTGGGATAAGGCACTACTTATGGAAGGTAGTTACAAAAGTTTGAGTCCTCTACTCCTAATAGTTTCTATAATGGCAGTATTCACTATTTTAACTCTTCTTAACAAGCTAATTAAACTTTCCAGAGGTTAGTTAGTCATTCAATTGTATAATGGTGATACCTGTAGTTCTTAATAAAATGATTTGAGTTTCAATTTCTCCTTAAAGGGAAGTAGTTTAAGTAGTATAACGTTACCCCATCGCAGTAAGGTGGACGGTTGGACTCTATTCGGAAGCACAACTGCCTACGAGAAAAGTACTTGACTCTACAGTGGTCGGCAAGTCGTCATAATAACCTCTTTCGACTTCTACTCAGAGGGATAATTGCTAAACCTTTCAACGAAGTGCAGTATAATTCTAACTTTTACTAGTTCCTTGGGCTGTTAATATCGTGGTTAACTTACTTCAGAAAACAGTGATTGGGGGAACGTTTTTATCTAGGAGAGTAGTACGAGGTATTTGGCTATCTTGATCCATACTAGTCCGCACGGTTCGAAAGAACTACTCTAAAACTCAGAGGGTAGAAAGCATTCACTTTGAAAGTTTTTATTTTACCTTTGAGTGGTCTGTAAACTGGTCCTACTTTATTTTCGTTAATCTCCTTATCAGTGTACTGTTATCTCGAGTAATGGTCGACAAATCACATCAGTGTCCAAATGTTTCGATCGGGGTAACCACACTAACTGCTCGAGAAATGAGCGATAGGTAAGACCAATTACTTATTTAAGGACTCAGACATGACCCTTGCTCTAACACTTTGCTACTTGCACGGAGAGTTAGAATAGGCACTGAACTTAGCTACCTCCATCAGTCTTATTACTGACCGGGCCCGGTAGACCGGTTTCTACACCCATTCTTCAGGGTTTAGAGACCTCACTATCTCTGACCACCGCGAGGTTAGCGTCAGTGGTCTTCCAAAGCAGTGCTTCCCAACCGGTGGTCCGTGAGACATCAAAAAGTGGTCATTCCCATATATAACTAAGGCATGTATTCAACAATTAGTAAGCATTATTTCTAAATAGATATATTTTTTTATAAGGAAGTCCTCATACTTAAGCTTCGATGGTCCGCTGCATTTTTAAGGTTGGGAACTACCACTTTAAAGATGCTTGTCATATGAGCGGTTTAGGTTGGCCTACTAATGGTAAGAGTATACAGCTATTTTTGTTGGGAGGTTGCGGAGGAACTTTGGCGGATACTTTTCATTTTAACCCGTTAACCTAAACAAAAGAGTAGAGAGAAAAAAGTGGACGCCACCGCTCATTTATTTATCTTATTATTCTATTTTTTACTTACTACAGCCGAGATGCATAACATATTGATAATTTTTTCCCCCCCTCCTAACTTACAGTAGGTAAAGAAGAAAGAGTACTCATCTTCAAAGTTTGCGTACCAGCCCATAAGTGAGTTATAAGAAGAAAGAACTTGTTTACTTGCTAATATTGTAGTGATAAAGCAATCTTTTAGCTTAATATAAGAAAAGCCTAAAACGCACGTTGAGAATTATAGATTAGGATCTTTTCCTTAAGAGGTTCCAGCAAAGACGGCGACACAGATCTCTAACTACAAGGCCATAAGCAACTCGCGCCACTTGCGACTTCTGCTATAAAACTCTAAAGAGGTGTATACTTAATAAATTCGAACTGCCACAACGTGACTCTGTGTTCTGGTGTGGTGGGACACATATCTAGATTTATTTTTTTTTTTTATAAATTTATAACGAAAACATACAATTATATTCTTTCAGCTTGCGAGACAAACATAATTACGCAAAATATACAATCCAAACTGTGCAGTTTACATTTGAATGGTGTGCACCTGCTAGCGGGTTTCTATTAAAGTTCGCATATAGAATCCTTTTTTTTAGTTTTATGCGTTATATAAGTGAGTTTGCTGAAAGTAACGAAGTTGAGATCCCTAAATATTAAAGAATCAGGTATTAATTTACAGGGACTAGTGACACCAGACATTTAAAAATATAACCTCTTTATTTTCTGTTTAGGTTTTTTGTAAAAACGATAAAAATTATAGCCCCTGTTGATACTTCATATACTTTTTCTCATATTTTGGCTTTTTTAAAAGAATTAAAAGTCTTACAATTCATAAAATCTTTATTACCCCAACTACTTTGTTACAACTGATATTATATTATATTTATTAATATTTGAATCACTATAATTATAAATTAAAATTATTTACACTAATTGAAGTAAATTCCGAACTGTTAAAATTAACAAACTTGAAACAAAAGCACATGTTAAGGCAATGCATTTTAGAAGATTATAATCTGCAGCAGTTTAAAATATATTGACTTAATTTACAGTTATTTGATCAGAAATAAATTGAAACATAAATTAATGAATCCCCAAAGCGATTATATTCGCTTTACCAGCTTAAGATTTTTTATTAGAAAGTTTTTGTGTTTTGTTATTATATAATTCCTATGGGCAGTAGTAAGTCAGGCAAACGCAAGTCGGAGCGTAAAGAAAGGGAGCGTAGTAAAGAACGGGATGGTAATACCCGATCGCGGAGATCTAAAGACAAACGTCGGGATCGCTCTGAGGAAAGAAAACGATTAAAAAAAAAGAGTAGTAGTTCGCGAGGAAGAGAACATAAAAGAAAGAAGTATGAATATGACATAAAGAAAGACGCTGAAGGGAGTCAAGAAAAAAATCATTTAGCTCATACTACTTCCGGACTAACTTCCTCTATTATTCCCACAGATGAAGTGGACAGCATTAAGGAGAGCCCCGAAGCTAAAGATGAAAAAAATTTAAAAGAAACATTAAAGTCAAAGGAACTTTCTGAAGAGGAAAAAATAAATTTAAGAAAAGAAAAACTACAAGCTTGGAGAAAACAAAGAGGTATAGAAGACATAGAGGCTTTGAAACCTGCTACTATAACTTTAACGTCTTCTGCTACTCCGACAACCGACGTGAATGACGTTTCTGCTTTAGCGTCAAGCGTTATTGAAGCCATTAAGCAAAACGATCAGCTTAAAAATCAAGAACTTCTTTCTACTTCTAATAAAAACAATGAAACTGAAACAGTAGATGATTCTTCAAAAGTAGTCAACGAGGAAGAACTAAAAAATTCAGAAGAAAAAATCGATCCACGAGTGAAAATTATGAAAGATGCTGAAGCTAATTATTTTGAAGAAAGCGATCCTGAAGGTTTGCTTATACTTTTTAGTTTTAATAATTTTGTCATAAATAACAATTTAAGCGTTTAAATTTATTTATTCTAAATTAAATTTATTTCTTTTTTTAATTTATATTTCTTTAATATTTATATTTATTAAATTTAATATTTTTTTTTTAGAAAATACTAAAGTTGAGGAGGAGGAATCAGAAGAGGATCCTTTAGGTTTTTTTTTATTCATAAGTTTTTTAAATTAAATTAAATATAAATAACTTCTTTAGATGCTTATATGGTTAATATTAATAAAGAAGTTTCTCAACTAAAAAAAGAAAATTTAATCAAAGAATTGGCTCTTTCGAAATCTAATTCAAAAAAGAAAAGTGCAAGCAGTATTCAAGTTATGTATAATGATGAAGATGCTTTAGAGTATAGTTCTGAAAATGAGGTATAAGCATTTTTTTAAATTTTTATATATTTTTAAAAAACTTTTTATATTATTAAATCTTATTATTTTGAAAATAGTTATGAATTTATTAATTTTATAATGAAAGTGACATAAAAAATTTTAAATTTTTTATATTTTTTATATAAATTGAGAAGTAGAAAAAAAAATTATATTGAAATTTATTAGTTTTTGTTACTTTATTTTGATTAAATTGTATTTTTAATTTTTTAAATAGAAGATTCGAAGAGTATTATATGCTATTTAGAAAATTAATCACGATCAATTTTTTTTGTTTTCCTTTTTTAGGAAGACTTACTTAAGAAATTAAAGGAATCTGAGCCAGCAAAGAAGGAAATTGCTAAAGTGGATTATTCTCAACACGAGTTGTTGGTAATCACAATATAACTGATTCTTAAATTTTTTTATTTTAATTAATTTAATAAATATTTACTTCTAATTTTAGTTTTATTTTTTATAATGACTTTTAAACTTTTATATTTTAATTTTCGTCAAATTATTATTTTTTTTGTGAGCGGATCTTTTTTCACTATTGTTTTTTAATTTCTACTAAACTTTATGGATCTTTTATACTACTTTGTTTATTTTTCTTATTTTTTGCATATAATTTTTTTTTTGTTATTGTTTTTAAAAATATTTTTTTATTTATGTATTTTATTTTTTCTTTTATTAAATATATTATTTATATTTTTAATATATATTAATTTAAATGTATTTTTTTTGGAATATAAATTTTATAATTCATTAACATTATTGTTATGATAGATTTTTTTAATGATTCGTTTTTATTTTTAAACTTTTTATTCTTCAAACTTTTTTTAAGTTAAATTCTATTTATAAAATATTTTATCTTCTTGATTTCTATTAATAATAATTTAATTTAATTTTCTTGTTTATAATTTTTTTTTGAAATCACAATTTTTATTTATAATGTTCATTCTATTTTTTTTTTCATTATTATAAAAAAAAATTTTCTATTAATTGATTACTTTTAATTATTTTTTTGAAATTTGATATAACTTTTAAGACAACAATATTATTTTAGAATTTTTTATGATTCCTTTTATTATAAAACTTTTTTATTTTTTATTTTCTTTTGATTTTTATTATTTTTATTTTATTTTTTCTTTATTGGTTTTTTTTTTTGATTTTACAACTTTTATTTATAATTTTTGTTTTATTATCACTATTATATTAATTTCTTTTTTTATATAAAAAGTTTTTTATTAATTTTTAATTAATTTTTTGGATAATTTTTTTTTTAAAATTTACTATAAGTTTTAATAAATTATTATTATATATTTTTTTAATTTTTTTTCTAAATCTTTTTTATTTTGTATTTTTTTTTTTATTTTAATATAATTTTATTTTTTTATTCCCTTAAGTTTTTTATAATTATCATTTTAATTTTTTATTTTAATTTTTTATTAATTTTTTTTAATTAACTTTCGAAATTTACTTTAATTGTTTTTTATGTATTTTTCTTTCTTTTTTTCCTTATATTCTATTAAAAATTTTATTATAATTTTTTTTTTTAATTTTTATTAAATTTTTTCTTGAATTAAATATAATATTAATATATAATATAGATTATTTTAATTTTTTTTAAAAATAATTTTTATTTTTTATTTTTTGTTTAATATATATAATTTTTTATATACTTTTTAAATTATTATTATCATTTAATTTTTTTTATATATATACATAAATGTTTTTGATTTTTATAAATTTCTTTATTACCACCTTTTTTTTAAAAAATTTTATATTTTATACGCTAATTAATTTTTTTTTTAGTTTACCAAAAATTTTTATGTTCCAGTTCCTGAACTACAGCGACTTAGCGAGGAGGAGGTAAATTTTTTTTTTTAAAAGAAAATTATATATAAGGAAAAAAAAAGTTTTAGTATTTAATATAAAATTATATATTCTGAAATTTTAATTAGAGAAATTAAAAGATTTTTATATGAAAGATTTATAAAATTTTTATTTTTATTTGGGAAAATAAATAATATTATGAAAGAAATATAAACTGTTTTATGTTTTAACAACTTTTTTTATAGACATTAAAACTTTTTGTTATTTTTTTAATATAAAACTTTTAAAACTTTATTAAGAATATAAATGTTAATAAGTTTTAAGTACTTTTTTTATAGGGAGAAAAAAAAAACTTGTATAATGTTTATTTTATATGTAAAACTTTGAAAAGTTATTAAAAAATATTAAATCTTACAAGTTGCAAATACCTTTTTTATAGTAACGAAAACTTTTATAAAGTTTATTATATTATAATGTAAAACTTTTCAAACTTTAAATATATAAAAAGTTTTATATAAAAAAGGTTTTACGTACTTTTTGATATTTAAATGAAGTTAAAAATTTTTAAATAAAATGAAAAATTTTTTAATAAATTATTTTAAATACTTTTTTATAAATATTAAAATTTATAAAGTTTTTATCTTTTAATGAAAATCTTAAAAAACTTTTTTTTATGTAGTACAACTTTTATGACCATTTATTTTATTTAAAAAACTTATATGTACTTTTTTTTGTATTTTTAATATTATTATTAAGTTGATTATTTATTTGAATTTTTTTTATTTAAACATAAAAACTTTTATGAATTTTTTTATTAGAAACTTAAAAAAGTTTTTTACAATAAAATATAAAATCTAATATGTAAAAATATTTTAAGCACTTTTTTTTAGATATGAAAAGTTTAATGAAGTTTATTATAATTTTTACAATAAAAATTTTAAAATTTTTTTATAAATAATATAAAAGTTATATATTAAAAAGATTTCATGAACTTTTTAAGGTTTAAATAAAAACTTTTATTAAGTTTTATAAGATATATATAATAAGTTTTACAGAAAAAGTTTTTTAAAAGTTTATTTTATATTTAAATAGAAAATTACGAAACTATTAGGAAAAAACAAATATTTTAAAACGTTTATATGACCACGAATAATTTTTGTGTAAAACTTATATGAAGTTTAATTATTTTATATTAAAATATTAGTAACTTTTATTTTTTATATAAGAATGTTATTTTTCTTAATGAAAGACACTTAGAAAATTTTAAATTTATTATTTAAAAAAAAGTTTATTATTTTAAAACTTTAAAAGTTTGTTATATTTAATATAAATGAGGAAACTTATTAACTTTATTATAGAAAAATTAAAAATTATTTACAGAAAAAAAAGTTTATGTATAAAACATTTTTTATTAGTGTATTATTATTTAAAAAAAAGTTGTTTATTTATAAAAAAGTTGTTTATTTATATTTACTATTAATTATTATTTTAATCCAATTTTGTTTAAGAAAGTTTTTTTTACTTTTAGTAATTTTTAAAATTTTAATTTTATATACTATAAAAAAAATTGTTATATACAATTATAATACTTCCGTTATTAAGTAGTTAATTAAAATAAAAAAAAAGTTATTTAAAAAAAAGTTTATATAAAAAATTTTTTTATTAGATTATTATCAATAAAAAATAATGTTTACTATAATATTATTACTTTTATTTTGTATTTCATTAAATTTTTTATTAAAATATAAAAAGTATAATATTATACATTTTTATATTATTATATCTGCTTTTGTTTATTATTAGTTTTTTATAAAAGTTTATTATTTACTATTAACGTTTAGATTATATTAAAACAAATACCAATTTAAATTTATATAGCTGCTTTTGTTTTATAGTAGTTTATTATAATAAAGTAGAAAAAGATATTTATTTTAAAGCTATCCATAAAAAAATTTAATATGGAATCTTATTATTTGCTTTTTTTAAAGATTTTTTTAAAGCTTTTTACTATTTTATTATAAAAAAATATATAAAAAGCTTTATATTTATATACTATAAAATTTTTAATATACTTTTGAAATGTTGACCATTTTAATCTTATTATATTTACTTTTTTTATTAATAGTTTCTATATAAAAAGTTTTTCATAAAATTTTTTTTATTTGCTATTAACTTTTATAGTTTTAAGATTTATATATAGTAAATTTACAATTGCTTTTGCTATTTAGTAGTTTTTTTTAAAAAGTATAAAAAGTTTTAATTTATTTACTATTAACTTTTTTTTAAGTGGATACTATGAAAGTTTTAATATTATTCTTAACTTTATAAATGTTTTATTACTAGTGTATAATTATATTATATACGCTTTTGTTTTTTAAAAGATTATTATTAAAAGAATAAAATAATTTTATACAAAGTTTTACTTTTATTTACTTTTAATTTGTAATTAAAAAATTCTAAAAGTTTTATTAAAATATAAATATTTTTATTAATAGATTTATTTTTTATAAACTTTAATACAAAATCTATTTTTTAATTAAAAATGATAATTTTTCCTAGGAAACTTTTACAGGTTTGCCTGTTTCCTCTTTTTTTATTTACAATTGTTTTTCATTTTTTATTTTTTTTTTTTTAAATTTTTAGAAGAGGTTTATGAGGTTTCTACTGTATTTACATATTCATTTACTTAAATAATACGGTATATTTTTATAACTATAAAATAAAATGTTATTATATATTTTTCTAATAACAATAATAAATATATAATATATCATAAATGTGTATAAATAAATATAACTATATTTAATTATTACTACTTAATTATTTTAAGGTTTTTCAACTTCGCGTTGCTATGGGAAACGTGCGCGTGAAAGGAAAAGATTGTCCCGCTCCCGTGAAAAACTGGGCGCAGTGCGGCTTCAGGTTTTATTATTATTATTATTATCATAATTATTTATTTATATTATTTAATATATTTTTCTTATTAATTACTGGTGTAATTACTTTTATTTATTATTATTATTATTATTATATATTATTAATATAATTATTTATTTTAATTTTTGTGTTTACTATTATTATTTTTTATACTTTATTATATACTTTTTATAGTTTAATAATAATTTTTGGTTAGAAATTATTATTATCTAATATATAATTTTATTTTTTATTATTATTTTTAAAATTTTTAAAATATATTTTTTCTTAATAATAATTATTTATATTATATTCATAGACTCTATTTACTAATATTTTCATTACTTTATTATTTCATTTTTGTATCTATTATTATTTTCATCTATAATATTATATTTTTTCCTAATAATTATTATATGTGTAATATATATTATTATTGTTATTAGATATATACTTTTATTTATTATTATTTTTATATTTTTTATTTATTTTTATTTTTATATTTTTTAAATTTATTATTATTATTATATTTATTATAGTTCTAAAATTATGCGAGTGATTGAAAATAATAATTATGATAAGCCGATGCCTATACAAGCGCAGGCCATCCCTTGCATTCTCAGCGGGAGAGACGTTATAGGAATTGCTAAAACTGGTTTTATTACTTTTTTTACTTATCAATAAGTACCAAAAAAAGTAATAATAATAATAAACAGGAAGCGGAAAAACTCTTGCGTTTGTATTGCCTCTCATTCGTCACGTGAAGGACCAACCGGATATACAGGACGGCGATGGCCCAATCGGGTTGGTTATTATTTTTATTATTGGCTACTCTTTATATATCCATTAAAAAACGGCGCCAGATTAATTAATGTTAGTGATATTACTGCATGTAACGACGAATCTGATGATTTTTATTGGTTGTAGGCTGATTATGGCGCCTACGCGGGAACTGAGCGTGCAGATTTTCCAGGAGTGTAGGAAGTTTGCTCGGAGGGAAAATTTAACGCCGTAGCCGACAATCATTTTTAAGATTAACAACTTTAGAATAATGAATTTTTTCCTCCAATAGGGTTTGCGTTTATGGCGGGACTGGCATTAGCGATCAGATTGCTGAACTGAAAGTGCTTCTTTTTTTTTTTTTTTACTTCCTTTTTCAACGTTTGGAGGGGATAACTTCCGCGCCTATTTTTTTATAGAATTTTTTATTAACTTAGAAAAATAATGAAAATTTTAAGATTATTATACCTTCTGTTTATACATAACAACTTTTGAATTTTTTTTTTATGATTATTATTTTATCTATACTTATAGAAAGGCGCTCACATAATTGTTTGTACACCAGGTCGCATGATTGACATGCTCTGTGCCAATAATGGTCGAGTAACAAACCTTCGAAGGTGTTTTTTTTAATGAATTTTTTGATTTTTTAGTTTTTATTAGTATTATTTCCTAATAGAGTAACTTTTGTGGTGCTTGACGAAGCGGATAGAATGTTTGATATGGTTAATAATAATAATAAATAATAATATTAATAATAATATGAAAATAAATATTTAATAATAATATAATTGTTATAATTATTAAATAATAAATATAAAAATTAATAATTATTATTAATAATACATACTCGTTATTAAATAATAAATTATAATAATTATAATTAATAATGATAAGTTACAGATATTAACTGATGAACAATAAATAATACTTAACACTAAATAATGTTAAATAATATTAATAAATAATAAATTATTATAATTATATATAAATAGTTTTAATATAAAAAATAAATAATAATAATAAAGTAATAATAAATATTGAATATTAAATGTATAATAATATAACAGTAATAATAAATAATTATTAATAAGTAATAATTAATACAAAATATATTAATTGATGACAATTATAAATAATAAATAAATACTATATAATGGTGAATGATAATATATCTAAAAAAAATAATAGTAAATAATTATAAATAATAAATAAATACTAAATTATATTAATCATTGATAATATTAATAATATATAACGGCAATAATAATATATATAATAATAAATATTAATTTTAATTTAATATAAAAATATTTAATTATAATAATAAATGATTTTAATAAATAACAAAAAATACTAATATATATAAATAAATACTTATAAAAAAATTTTTTTAAGTAAATACTAGATAATAATATTCAATGACAATAATAAGTATTAAATAATAAATGTTGATAATAATAAGTCACAAAAAATGAAAATAATTTAAATAATGAATAATAAAAATAAATGCTAAATAATAAATAATGATAATAAATATAAATAATAAAAAACAAAATATGCTAATAATTATTTTTAAACAATAATAATAAATAATACATAATGAATGATACCTTTAGGGCTTTGAGCCGCAAGTAATGATGATTCTCAATAGTACTCGCGAGAATAAACAAACTGTTCTTTTTTCTGCGACTTTTCCTAGAGCTGTAATTAATTTTTTTTTGTTATATATAAAATATAATTCTTTATACTTTTTGCAGGACAACATTGTATTTTATTTTTTTTTATATTTTTTTTAATGACTCGGTTTGATCCCGAATTACGCAGTGTGGTTTATTGCTACCTATTTATAATTATTAATTTTCTATTTAATTAAAAAGTTTGTGTATAGTTAACGTAACTTAGTACCAAAAAAATTAGTATTTTCTGGAAGATTTTATAAAAAGGGCCATTATTTGAAATTAAATAACGACGTTGGGTAGCTTTTTTTTAATTTGAAAGTGTTAAAGTTATACATTAGATTTATTTGATTGGTGCGCGGTGGCCCCCCCGTCTTTGTTCATTATATTATTGACTCTAATATATTTTGCCCAGATAATGTAAATCGGCTGTTCATTGGTTTATTTCTGTGCTTTCTTTTTAATGAACCTTGAATTTTTTTTTAACCAAAGATGGAAGCATTGGCAAGGAAGGTCCTTAAGGATCCAATCGAAATAACTGTTGGTGGGCGTAGCATTGTTGGAAAAGATATTGCCCAGCATGTGATCGTATTGGACGAGGAGCAGAAAGTGCTTATTTTAATGATTTTTTTTAAATATTTTTATTATAGTTAATTATTATCAGTGGTTATGTTTAGGATAGCGAAGAAAATATTTTTTTGTGCTAACGCTTTATGATATTTATTTTTAATTGGCTCTTTTGTTGTGCATTATTATCATGTCATTAGCTCTTTTTTAACGCTTTCGTTAATTTCTTATTTGTGCATTTTCTTAAATCATTTCATTGATTCTTTTTACAAATGCTGTAGTTACTTTTATTTTAAATGGTGCATTTATATATCACATTATTAACTCTTTTTGTGAACACTTTTGTTAATTTTATTCTGCTTCGTGCATCTATAAATCATCTCATTGGCTCTTTTCTTTAAGCTTTAGTGGGCTTATAATTCATTTTCTTTTCTCTTTATTAACTTCATTTATTTTTTTTAATATAAAGTTTAACAAATTGTTGGAGTTATTGGGCCATTTTATTACTGAAGGGCTGGTCCTTATATTCGTTGATCGTCATGAAGCCGCCGATGCTCTTCTTAAAAATGTTTATTATTACTATTATTATTCTTTTCATTTATTAATATTGCTACTTTAGCTTATTAAATGCGGCTATCCTTGTATGACTCTCCACGGCGGTATGGATCAGGTTTTATATTCTTATGGCGTTTTACTTCATATATTTATTGCACAACTTTATATATATAAATAAATACAGTAAATCATACATTTATCTTTTTTTCTATATATTCCTTAAACCTTTTTATTATTATTTTTTTTATCAGGACGACCGTGACAGCGTTTTGTCCGACTTCAAAAATAAAATAGTCAGCGTGCTCGTAGCTACTTCCGTTGCCGCACGTGGATTGGATGTTAAGGTATTTTTTATAATAATATGTAATAAGTTTATAACTTTAGAAATAGGAACTAAAATTGGTAGTCAACTATGACGTACCCAATCATTACGAAGGTTTTTTTTGACCAATTAGTATATATTTTTTTTATTCGTACGCACCTGTGCTTGGTAGATTACGTTCACCGGTGCGGACGGACGGGGCGGGCAGGTAAAAAGGGCACAGCAGTCACGTTGATCACCCCCGAGCAGGAAAGATACGCAGGCGATATTATAAAAGCCCTCGAGTCGTCCTTTGCGGCTGTTCCAGACGAGCTTAAAAAAGTTTTTTTTTCAATTTCTATTTTTTTTTAAAAAAGAATTAATAAAAGTTTTAAAAATTATAAAAGAGTAATTTATTTTTTTTTAAAAAAAGGATAAATCAAAGTTTTAAAAATTAAATTAAATATATGCATTTGCAGTTAATAAATAATAAATTTGTAATATCTATATAAAAAATAGAGTAATTAAAATTTGCATTTACAAGGAAAGTAAGATTTATATGTTAAATATTATTATAATATAATCATAAGTAGATTTTTATAAAATTTTTTAATATTTTATATAACTATTACTAAAAAGTTATGAAAGAACTTCAAGAATATTTAAAATATAATTAACATGAATTATAATAAAATAAACCTAATTAAATTTTTATAATATTAAAAAAAAACTTAAAAAATATTCAAGTTATAAAAAGCTTAAAATACTAAATTTATTTGTTTGGAAATGAATAATATATATATATTTCTTATATATATTAATACTTAAAAGCTTTGGGAAAGTTTTAAAGAAAAAAAGAAATCTGGCCTTGTGAAGGACTATAAGAGCGGCTTTGGCGGGCACGGTTGTTTTTTTTATTGACCTCAGCAGGAAAAATAGTGATAGATGCATTGGTCAATAGGATTTAAGTTTGATAGCGAAGAAAAGGAAAAGAACAAACAGGAAAAAGAGCTTCAGAAAGCCATTTCCGGTTTGGTGGACACCGACGAGGAAGAGGAAGAGGAGGATGACCTCGATAAGCTCATCATGTCCAAAATGCGCAAGAAAACAGGGCTCTCTGGCTCCAGCGAGATCGATAAACTTACGAGTAAAATTTTTTTTTAATGCGAGATTAATTTGTATGATGATTCGTTGAAATTATTATTTTTTAATAAAATTTTATTGGCATTTTTTATATTGATGGAAATTTCATTTTTCGCAGTGTCTTCCACGAAGTTTGAAGATGTTATTGGACGACCTGAAGGAGGTTTTTTCCTTAATGAGCATATTTATTTGTTTGTTTAATTTTAATGATGAAAAATATAAGCAATAAAAATAATAAAAGTAAAAAAGTTTGAGTTTCTTTCTATATCTTTATATTTGAAAAAAAATTTTATAGGGACGAACGTCGTTCATGACTCTGTTGTGAGTATTTTTGGCGGGCAGGCAAAGAACCAAAAGATTGCCGAAGCATTTGCTCGAGCTCAAGCCATTAATAAAAGTATCTTTTCTATATATATATATATTTATTATTTTATTTTATTAATATTTATTTTTATTCTTAATATATTTTTTAAGATTTATTATATAAATATTTATTGTTATTGTTATATATAATATTAAGCAATTATTATTTTTTTTATAATATTTTTGAAGGCAACTATTATATTATTTTTTCTATTAAACATGGTTTTTTATTATATCGTAAAGCAGTTATTACTTTTTCTTTTATTTATTACTAAATATTTCTTATAAAATATATTTTTAAGCAATTATTTTATTTTTGTTTTATTTTTATATTATTTAAATTTTTTTAAGGCAACTTTCCTTTAACTTTTTTTATTTTTATAATTATTTATTATATAAATATATAAAAACAACCTTTATAATATTTTTGTATTAATTCTTTTAATACACTAATACCAAAAAAATATATTTGTTATTTTTTATATTTTATTAAAATTATACAATATTTATTTTATGTATAGAATTTTTTTTTAAATAAATTATAGTATAATAATAATTTTATTTTTTTAATTACTATTTTCTATTCGTTATGTATTACCTTTTATTTTATTTATATATCTTCTTAAAAAATATTTTATTTTTGTAGTTTCCTTATTTTATATTATTAATTTTGTATTGAATATTTTTTTTGTTTTACTTTAAGGCAACTTCCATTTTACTTTTGTATTACTCTCTTTTAAAATATATTTATGAGCTTTATTATATATTTAAGTCATCTTTTTTAAGGTAGCTTTTATTTACTTTGGAATTATTTACATTTATTTACATGTTTCTAATTATATATTTTTAAGGCAACTTTTATATTACCTTTATCTATATATTTTTTTACATATATTTTAAGGCAAAAACTTTGGCTCTGCAAAGCCGTTGTTTGGCGGCCAGCAACACTTCTTTGATACTAATCATTACGATGAGGAATTGGAGATTAACGACTTTCCTCAAAATGTTCGTTGGAAAGTCACACAAAAAGTTATTATATTATTATTATATAGTTTATTATATAAAATTTAAACTTTTTATTTAATAACGCTTGACTTTTGCAGGAAGCAGTAGAAAGTATAACAGAAGAAACAGGAGCGGCTGTTACGGTACGCGGGACTTACGTCCCTCCGAATAAAGAAACTCCTGAAGGAGAAAAAAAACTTTTTCTTTATATTGATGCTGATTCTGAAGTCAAAGTACGACTGTTTGTAAAATGCTTTATCGTTTGCCTAATTGGTGTTTTTATAAAATATTTGTTATTCATTTATTTGTTAGTTATTTATTGTTTTATTGATTGGTATTTTAAATTCAAATTGATTTGGTATATAATTATCTGTTTAACGCTTTTTCGTTATATTGATTGGTGCCTTATCTTATTATTGATTTGTTTATATTTATTTGTTAATTGTTTTATTGTCTGTTTGTTTGGTGTTTTATAATATTATCAGGTTTGTTTATATGTGTTTTTTATTGCTTTATTATTCGTCTGATTGGTGTTTATATAATAATTTGTTTATATACGTTTTTTTTATTCCTTTATTGTTTGTCTAGTTGGTGTTATAATAATGATTGATTATATATTTATTTGTTGACTGCTTTATTGTCCGTCTGAATGATACTTCATATAATAATTGTTTTGTTTTATATAATTTGTTGTATGCTGAAAGTTACTAAAATGAAATAGAAAACTTAAAAATGATAAAAATAATGAAAACGATTAAATAAAATAATATAAATTAAAAAAAGTAAAAGTAATGAAAATAAATAATTAAACTTTAGAATTTATTGTTATGTCGATTGGAGTTTTATATTCGAATTAATTGGTTATTTATCTGTTATCATTATGAAATGTGACTATATTTGAAACTTTTCAGTTATTCATTATAATTTTTTTTCAGGTCCGCCATGCGGTCGCCGAGCTTACACGAATTATAAAAGAGGAACTTGAGAAAAACAGAAATCATGGAATTATCAATCGGCAGCACCAACTTGCGCGTTATGCAATCTGTTAACTAAGTTTTACTTTTTCTAAAAAATCTAATAAAAAAAGTTTTTATTTGGTTGTGCACTCTGAAATTTACTTTTTTTTTTAAATTTAGATTATCCTTTTTAAAATTAGAATCTTGTTTTAAAAAATCTAAAAAAAAATTTTTTTTTAGTTTTGGAAAGTAAAATTTAATTCCCTTTATTTAATTCTCGAATTATTTTATAATATTCTGATCTAATTTAAAAGTTTTGCTTCAGCCTATCACGCAAGTAATTATAATTTGTAAAGTTAAAGTCATTCTTTTGTTAAAAAAATTTAAAAAATAATTTTTTAGTCGTGCATTTAGAATTTAGAATCTTTTTATAATTCTTTATTTACTTTAAATTTTTGTTGAATTAAAAATTTTTTTATAGTTTATATTCGGAATTTATTAATTTTTATAAAATTTATTTCTGCCTTTTTTTTTGCACAAAAAACTGTTAAAAAACTTTATTAGAGTTGTGTACCGAAATTTAATTTTTTTTTGTTTTGCTTACCTTTTTAAATTTCGATTCAACTTAAATTTATAAAATTAAATTTTAGCATAAAGTTTTTTTTTAGTTGTGCGAAATGTAATTTAATTTTTATTTATTTATTTAATTTTATATAATATTTTATAGTATATAAAAGTTTTACTTCTCTTCCATACAATTTTAATAAACCTTCTTTTAGTTGTGCATATTGAAATTTAAATCTTTTTTCTGATTTTCTTGGGTGACTCAATTAATTTCTGGTATATCTAGGATTTATTACTATAGTTTGTCACGCTTTTGATTTACTTAAATTTATAAACCTTTTTTGAAAACTTTTTGTGTGCAATTTGAAATTAGATTTAATTTTAATACTTAATTTAAAAATTAATAAAAAAAAATGCTTTTAAGAATTTTACACTTCTTTTTTAGGAAATACACTGGAAATTCGATAATCTAATTTTCTATGTTGTATATAAATCTACTTAACAACTTTTTTTAGTAATGCAAACTTACATTAAATCCTTTTTACTATTTTTTAGTAACATCTTAGAATCCTAAATATATTTAAAATAGAAAACACTAGTATTTCTCGAAATCCGCTTAGACTAACAAATTTAAATTCGTTTATTGCAAAAGAAATGAAAAATATTTTTTTATTTGTGCACCGGAATTATAATCTTTTTTTTTACTTTTGTAAAATTTATAAAAATTGGATATTGAGATTAATTTTTTTGCAATTAATTAAATTAATTTTAATTCTCTGTTGTGATTTAGAATATACTCATGAGGTCAAGGCCTATTTTTAGGACCGACTGGTCTTCAGTGTGTTGAGTAAAATGTTAGCTAACTTGCTTCTTATTTTTTAAAGATTCCAATAAATTAAAATTAGAAAGTAACAACTTTATCTGTTCGTATTTTGCAATTTTATAAGAGCGTTAATAAGATAATTTTAAAGCCATTAATATATTGGTAATTAAGGTTGAAGTAAATCAAAAATATAAGGAAAAAATGACATAAAAATTATAAAATATATTAAAGGAAATATGTTTGAAAGAAAGGATCGATTAGTAAATATTAAAAAAATCACTATTTAATTATACAAACTCCTTAATATAAAACTTTTAGAGCCTTCCGAAAAGTTGCAAGTGAACTTTTTTTTGCATTTCTATTTTTTTGCTTTTTTTTTTTTTTTTTTTTAGTTATAAACATCCTCGTTTCTTTTGACTACACAAACTTTGTATTACTAAGACAAGGATCTAGTAAGAAACAAAAACAATTAATATTGTTTAGCGGACTAGCATTTGTTATATTTCGCTAGTACACCTAAGAATTAAAAAAAAATTGTAACGTCTGAAAGAAGACTTTTTCCGACTTTAAAATAAAGCTTGTCTATAAACGAAAAAAAAGTTATTTGCAGCACTTAAATCTTATCATTAAAAAATCTTTTAGTAAGAATGGTACTACCCTTAATACTATTATAAGTCTACTTACATTAAAAAATATGTATCTACAAAATTAAGGGGACTTTAATTTTTTTAAGCCGATACAAGTTAAGGCTTTGGCTCGTAACTTAAAGGGAATTGTTTTCATAAAAGAGAACGAAAACTTACAATGAAATTAGCTCTTCCAACTTAGAAAAAGCATTGGCTGAAATTAATGATTTTATTATAAAAACTTCTGCAATGAAACTATAATGATATAAATATTTAGTAATTGTTATAATACCATTTATCACACATTTTATGGAATTAATACCACATTAAAGGATAATAACGCTGCAGATATTTTAGAGTCCGAATAAATGGGCATTACCCCAAAAATAATCTTTTTAAGGCCCCTTTAAAACCAAAACACTTTTATTAAACTAATAAAAAAGTGAAATTTTTTTTTTATAAATAAATAGAATAAATTTTACAAGATCTAGACCAACTTGGTAAGTTATAACCTTTTCAGGAAAGTAGGATAATTTAAAACTGCAAAATCGTAAAAACTTTAATACTATATATAAGCCTGACTATTTTATTTTTAAAATTTATTACAAAACATTTTGTAACTCATAAATAATTAGTAAAACTTACAATTCTGGTAAGTTATGTAATCCCTTAGACACCCTCACTGATAATAGTATTTATTGTGGTGTAAATTCCCTTGGCAAAACTTTAAAATAGTGTAAGCTATAAAAGTAAGGCTTACTAGCTTACTTCAGAGCTATGCCTTCGTAATTTCATAACATATAGTTATCTTTTATAAGCTCAAAACTTGACCATTTATATTAATATTACGTACATGAAATAAATTAGTGTCGGAATACACACACTTAAAGAATTTTTAATGCCGAAAGAGTGGAAAAAGCGTCATTAACAACTGAAATTTGGAGCAATTATATAAACGCCTACCAAATGAAGTTAACTAGAAGCATGTTTAGAAAAAGTTTAATGTTGAAGAACTAAAGAAAAAATTGTTTTTATTAGTGCTTATGATATAAAAGACCAACTTTTTAGCAATCACGCTTTACTTACAAACTCTGTAGTTGTACAAGATCCTTAGTTAAATATATTAATAGAGATGAGTTTCCAAATAGTTCTCATATATTTTAAAAAAAAATTAACCAAAAGGCTATATTTTGAAAATATAATATATATGACTTTAGAATTACTGCACATAATTACTTAGAAACTACAGCGATATCCAATAGTTAATACTGATGTAGCAGTTTCTGTAGAAACGAATTTTTGAAATTGGCTAACTTTTTTAAAACATTATCATTAAACTATACTCACTATCCAACGCAGTGATAAACTGTTCTTAAGATATACTAATTAAATCAAGTGTCATTAAGCTGAAAAATAATATATATATATATATATATATTCGCTAGAAGTTAACTTGGAAATTGATTAAGTTAGTGTGCCCTTTTAAAAAGTTGCCATCTACTGAACTAAGCTGATTATTTCCTAAAATTCGATTTTTTATTTAAATACAAAGTTAAATAATGGGCAGTTACAAGTCCAGGAATATAGTAATACAGTAGGCCACTCTATCAGAAATCAGAAGGAACTATGCAACTCTATTGGTAAAAAAGTGAAATCCATAGTTTTATATATAATAAGACACTCACAAATTATTTAGTTTTGGAGGCAAAGGATAACAAGAAAACATTGCTGTGAGTCTGTTAATGGCGAGGAATCTATTTGTGGTATGAAAATCAGTAATTTTTTTTTGGTAAATAATAGTAAAAACAGTTAAAGAGAAATTATGACGGGGAAAAAAAGCGGAAAAGCTCGTAAAATCTGTAAGTATAGCCCAGTCCATATTGGTTATATATATAACTTTATCCTCTTACTAACTTGGTAACTTTAACACGAGATAAAGTATAAGAGATAACTAGATCGTGCAATGGTTCTTTTAAAGGAAATATAGCTTAAAAATAAAATTAGAGAATATTTTTTTTTAACATTTAATTAGCTACTAATATTGAGGGTTTACTCTTCCAGAGAGAGCTAATAGTTATATAAGTTTATAATGTTTGGACGTTAATACGTGGTATTCACAAACTTTTAGAGTTTTTTCAATGTTATTATAATCAAGATATCTAGAATTAAGCCTTAATTATTATCACAACCACTATATTAAATTAATTAATATAATTTTTAATAGAGTAGCAATAGGTATATTTTCATTAAAAAATTTAACATACTAATTAAGTTTATTTTTAATATGTACTAAAGCTAAAAATAAATCACAATCCCAGCACAGATATATTACCGCCCAAGTTAAGAGTGGGCGCAAATACTTACAATTCTTCCAGGTTTTTAAGCCCTTCAAAAAAAAATTTATCTTGAATCACTTTAAGCTTGTATCCATGTAACACCCTATATATGTTTTAAAAAAGGGATTGGTTTTACTCTACCTTAAATATTGCCTATAATTTAGGCTGTTTATGTATGTACTAATAATGAGAGATAAATAAAGGAAAATATTGGCAAAAACTTTTTAGCTTGTATTTATATTCAAATCTTTGAAGATTAAAAAAATGACTAAACATTTTTAGTGTGTAATAATAAAGGCTATTACATTTCGAGACGATATTTAATTTATACTTACAATGTTTTATACTAATTAGATGTTTAATTATGCGGCTTTCAATAAAATAAGTTTATTGTAACCTAAATTTCTTAATAAAATAATTGTAAATTATAGGCTTGGAAGTGGTTATGCGATATTATATGTCGAGATGCATATCGGATTACTTATAGAAAAAAAGGTTAAAGCACTCACCCCAAAAAAAGTAGAAGCTTCAATAAAGTTAATATTGTCAACGTAAAGATTTCTATAACAAAGTGAGATGTTCAGGTCACAATCAGTTGTTAATATGGAAAAACTATGTAAAAATAACTTTTTATGTATATAAAAACGGCACTAGTAAATTTCTAAGCATAAAAAAGAAAAACAAAGGAACTTTAAAATGCTAAATATTTTAGAGGTCATAAATTTAATAATATTCAACATTAAC